CACAAACAACTCACTTCTCCTGTTTTGACAGTAATCTACATATCATATATATCTCATCAGTGTCATGTTTTATGACAGAGACAACAGTCAGTGTAGGTTCCTTTTTTCCATTCAGCCACTTTATGAACAATGTGCCTTTTGTACTGCGCCTACTGTGCTATTATCTTTTTATGAAAATAAGCAGAAGGTATTGGACTGTCGTCATCTTTTATGTGCCTTTATCATTCTTTCTCTCGTGCTTTCTCTATCTCTTGTTCTCTCTCTTCCCTAACCTGGCAAACCTGCCAAGTGAGTAGAGCTCCAAAGTGGATCAGTTAGTGGCAGATTTAGATTTGAGGTGGGGAAAACTAAGTCCCAGTCGCAGCCAAACCTGTTTCTTTAGAAAGACTCTAAGGGACCAGAGGGCTGGGAGATTTCCATATGCTCTGCCACCCTCTTCCCCTCCGTGATCACCTACAGTGAGTCTCCCCCCACCCTTTTTGCTCCTTGGTAGTGTATACCCACCTTTACAGCCTGCTTTCTAAATCCCTTCTCTACATAAACTTCTCCTCAGATGTACCCACCCCTAAACCCCCATCTATCAACTAGTTGGCAGTGGCATTGTTTTTAATCATCAGAACCTCAAAATTATTATTATCGCTTCTGATGCGGCAATTAAAACTTCAGGTCAGAGGCACAACGAGCGGTGATCAGCAGCCGAGCTGAGAAGTTTTAATTAGACGATCAGAACCATTAATGCACAAAAAAAAGGTGTGCGCTGGGAAATTAACGGGAACGTCTTAATCAGGGTTAGCGACTCCGAAGAGGAGTCAAGTGAACAGAGAGCAAAAAACAAATCATTTCCGCACCACTGGGACAAAACTCAATTAAATATGCATGCGGAAAAATGGAAATTTCTCAGCATCGACTGCACCGACTGTTGGAAAACTGTGGCAAAATCTCACGGCGGGGTCGCCGACCTGCTTATTGTTATTCTTGTGTAATAAAAATGAGAGAGGGGCCAGATGCTGGGGTCTGGGTGTCGTGCCGTAGTTGTCCATCAGTGGCTTTCCGCTTGACTTCCTTGCGGCTGCCGCATCCTCTCTACCATGCAGGGGGAGAGAGAGAGAGAGAAGAGGAAAACATTCTCTTCCTGCAAGCCGTAAATTTACAAAAATAAAAACATGGTAATTTTGAAGTGTGTCTGTGTATGTTTGCCTGTGTGGCTCAGTGATTTCACTGAAACACACATGCACTCACAAACTCTCTCACACATACATCTCCCTTGAGAGCCAGAGACACAAAAGGTTCACTGAGCTACACACACGGAGCTGCAGCCTTGTCGATTAATCTGCCAAAGGTTCATAAAGTTATAACAGGGCTTTTTTAAAGAGCTACAGCAACTCTTGGTTGCATATTGTAAAATAATTCTGAGCTAAACAGACATCTCCCAGACCCTGTTTGTATTAATTAACTCCTGATATTGCAGGGGGTTTGTCCCAGTGTCAGTCATGTTGGAACTCAGCAGGAATCTACAACAAGCCCTGTACCTGTGTTTGATTAGGTGAAGACATAAGCTTCAGTTTAAACAGGTAATATCTACCTCTCTTATATACAGACCCTCCTGTGTGCTCGTTCCATACAAACTGCAGGGAGTCAGTGTGTTTATGATGCAGCACTGCACTTTGAATGAGCAATAAAGTCAAGTTATTCAATTTTCTATATGTTGTATATGTGGCTTTACATCTTCCATAAGATGATTACAGGAGCGTTTTGGACATAAGATGCCTCATCTTGTATGTCAGAAGGAGGTAAAGCCGTGACCCTGCCAGTCACAACCACTGTAAACTCCCACATCCTTTACCCGTAGCTGCCTTGATTACAGTCTGTGCACGTTCACACAAATAATGCACTTCCAACAGCGTTATTAGGATTTGAAACACCACTTGATTGGGCATGATATCATTCTGGCACACAAACAGAGACTCTGCATCAAAAACCAACAAGACCTGTGGGGCTTAGAGCTGTGGAAGAGTACGTTTGTCAGTGCGGAGGGCTAGATTTGAACACAAGCTGTGTCATCCAGCGCTGAGAAGAAACAGGACCCGAAAGAACTTTGATGCACTTATTTTTGACTGAAGATGAAAAAGAACCTGACCTCTTCCAAATGTATTCAAAATAGTTTCTTGACTTTTTCCTCAGGTTTTGGCCTTATACAGACAGTACATGGCGCTCCTTTGTGGCCCTGCACTGTTTCCAGTAAAAATAGTGTCACAGTTAACATAAGCAGTTGGAAAAATTAGTTTCAGCTGTTGTGTTCAAATTCAAACCTGTCTATTTTTTCCAACTCCCAGTGCTTGCTGAGGTGTCTCCTCCTTGACAATTAGCACACCAGGCTAAAACAGACTGTAAATAATGTCCAATGCATGTGACAGTGTTGTTTTTCTTTCTGATATTCATTAATAAGGCAGAATGCTTACTGGACTCTCGGGGAGGTGGGGGAGTTGGTCCCAGAGGGAAAAGTTGTTCTTTCATGTAGGTCCCCACTGATTTTATCTCATTGTACGCTATCATGCACACAAACGACTTGAGGTAAACAGCTTAGTGTTACCATAGCGATCCCTATTGTAAGCAATGGCAAAAAGCTGCTGTGGACAGAAACCCTCAGCATAAATAATAGTTTAGACAGCTTCCATAAACCATCGAACCATAGCATGTTCCTCCTCAAGGGGAAGCTCACAATATTAAATTTGTTTTAAAGCACGCCTTCCTTTAAAAAGAAAACACTGAATATGTGCTTAAGATGTCTGATAATATAGTTAGAAGCCTACTTAGATACTCAGCCAGTAGCACTTGGTCATCTACTCACGCTCCTTATTGTTAACAGAAAATCATACATAAATACTCACTAATGGAAAGAAACAACTGTGTAGGGGTCATTTCCTACAAGGAGCTTGAGATTGCAATGCAAAGGAAATCGGTAGTTAAAGCATGAAATACTGAATGCAGTAAACAGAAAAAATGACCTCCACTGCAACACCCAAATGACCTCAATCTTCCTTTGTAGAGTATTTCTGAAAAAAAAAACTTGAAAATTTATGTCTTCCACTTCCTAATAGTTTTTCCAGCTGATTCCTTTTTTTTTTTTTTTTAAATTGCTGTCTTCTAAAAGGTGACCCTTTCACCCCCGCCTGCAATTGTCTAACACTAAATTGTACAGTAATGTGCAGCTGATATACGGCCCACTCAAAACTACATAATTCCTGAAGTCATTGTTTTGGAGAGGAAGCCTGCAATGTAAATACAGTAACTGAGAAAGCATGTGTGGGGAGCATGAGGTGCATTGTCTGGCGGTGGGGTGATCTGTAAACTCCCTCAAATTGTATATCCTCTAATGATTCCACAGCTTTGCAAAAGAAAATGAAAACAGGATTTTATGTTGCACCGATGTGATTTACATAATGCTGGCAATGCCTCACACATGATTGTGCTTGGCTTTATGGCTGAGGGAAAATGAAGAGGCTCGTACTCATTGTTATAGAGAGTGAATTGAGTCTTTAAGATAGAACTTTGTTACCTCTAATATCACATATTTTTGTCTGCTGAAATGGTGTGTCCATAGCTCAGTATAGTATATTATCTTAACCACAGTGTGGCTGAGTTAAGATTCAATACAACTCCACACAAGAAGAAATATGTCTGCTGTGGCGGGCTCTTTAACTGTTTTCACAGAGCCTCAACTGACAAAGCTTTACATACTACCAAATAAAAACAGAATACACGTTAACATGCTTGTCTGATCCATGGTGATTTGACTGCTTTTTTTTTTATACCATAAATACTGTGCTACTCACGGTCACCTCCTCCTTGCTTTTTAAATGTTATTTACAACTTGATAAAGATCTGGACTTGATTTTGAGTCCGGAAAATAAAGTTGCAAGGTGAACTTTGGTGGCTCTGGAAATAAAGTGAAAGGTACTAGAGTGCATTTTCTGCCCTAAAAAGGCAGCTCTGGATATGGAATGCCACAGGCAGCTGTTCCTGCCTCATCAGAGGACATGTTATAAAGATAGCCCCACTTGGGTTGAAATAATGCCACCCATTCCTGCCCCAAAGCACACTCTATCATGCTCTATTGTTCATTGAGGCCGCACTGGGGAAAAAAATGTTGAGACTGTGCAGTATGTCTTGTGAAGTAAATATATGTAAAACAATGTAACTACAACATTTTTTGTTCGATGTACCCATGTTACTGTCTTGGCTAGATCAACAGTAAAAGACAGCAGAGGGTAGAAAGAGCTTATATACACGGCTTATTATTTTCTTTTTAATAAAGTTAAACCAGCAGCTTCTACCGAAACAGTTATTGAGTCTAATCCCGCTGAATAGCCAACATGAGAACACGGCTCCAAAAAGCCCAAAAGTGCTCAGCATATTCACTCCACATCCTGACAGCTTTAATGCTCTGCAGCCCCCCACTCAGTGGCAGGACCACAGCCTCTTGAGGTGAGAGTGAAGATAACATTTCACAGTGTCTCTATGCGCTGTCATGTGAAGGATTATGTAGCCGTGTATTTGCTGCTTGTAGTACCGTAGGGGGTCTGATACCTATCTGCCAGTGATTTCAGCTGCGTGCGCTTTTTTTCCTCCTTTTTTTTCTCCACCACTGTGTTAAACTCTGAGCTGACCGAAGAGGTGTGACTTAGAAAGATATGTACAGTATCTCTGTGTGTCCTTCTAGTCTTGTGCTGTTATTGTTAAGTGCTTTGGGTGTTATTAATAGCAGCAGTCACTGTTGTTCTATGTTGTTTTTCCATTGTGATTTCTAAAGCCAGTACAAGTTACACATGGAAAAGCTGGTTCAAACTTTGTTTCTGGTGATACTGAAAGCGTAACTGGCCCTCATTTAAAAAGCCTGCTTACTGAGTTAAAGTGAAATTAAACCTTAACGCAGATAACTGTGACACTGAACAACTTAACTAATCTCATATCTTTTTTTTCTTTGTTCTTGTTTCCATCAGCTGAAAGGAGTTTATGCACTGAAACGACCTCAGGAAAATCCAAGATGGCCGCCAAAAGGAAAGGTGGCCTAAAACTCAATGCTATCTGTGCCAAGCTGAGCCGCCAGGTGGTGTTCGACAGCAGCTCCCAGAATGCAGAGGGAGACCAGAGTGTAGCAGACAATAGCGAACGTGGCAGTTCCCACTACGATGACAATGAGACCAACTTCCCTGAGAGCCTGAGCCTGACTCAGAGCCTAGAGGAGGACCAGAAGAGACGCGAGGCCATCGAGAAGTGGGTCAACGGCGAGTACTGCGACGAGCCGCCAGTTCCTGATGATGAGCAGGAGCAAGAACTCAAAGTCAGTACTGACGAAGATGCCCCTCCTGAGGGTGTGTACATGGTACAGCCCAAAGGTTGCAGTGATGATGAAGAGGAGGCTGAGCCTGTGGCGGGGTCTCAGGATGGTAGTTTCCATGACAACAAAGAAGTTGAAGACAGGCCTCCAAAAGATGACACCTACATGCCGCCAAGCGAGGCCCAGAGTCGCCAACCACCTTTCTCCTCTCCAGGTACATCTTGACTCTCTGTCCTCCAATCAGTTTCCTTCTGATGCCCCTGCCATACTCTGAGTTATACTTGACCCTTTTTATACATCTTAAACCTGCACTACCTTTGCCCTTTAAATCATTCCACTCCATAGCATTAGTGGGCAAAGGCTTAGATAGATGGTTGGTGACATTACCACATCCACATAAGCTTAAGTGTGCCCGTTGCTGGAAAGAGACGCTCTAGGGTTACATTAGGAATAGCCAGTGACATTATTACCCTAAAGACAGATTCAACTGGCAGGCCAGGGGCGAAAACAGGAACTTGTCAGTGTGTGGTTAACTGTACGAAGAAATTCATAAATGGAGTAGGCTTACAATGTAAGGCCGTTTATGTACTCTCCCAGCAGCTGTGGGCCAAGAGCGCATGGCAGGACCAGGCTAAGCTTCATATTACACCCAGGATTACACATTGAGTCTTTGATTTTCTCTAAGCTCACTAAACTTAGCCATTGCTTCAAGCTCCTCTATTACATGGAGTTGTAGTCTGCCGTGGAGGAGTTCATGTTTTTTTCACAGTTGTCAAATCCAAGAGATCTATTGTCAGATAAAGTCAGAAGTTATATTGCAATGCCATATCACACTTAAGTATGTTATTATCTCCTCACAAACAACACTGGCTCCATGTATTTATTGTTAGCAGACATGAACATATTTTAATAAATTCCCTAATACTATGTGCTCTTGTAAATGACTCATTATAACCCCTGTTTAATTGTGACATGATGTTCCCTGGGTATAATTCACTGATTATCAAATAGATAAAGCTGGCAGAGACTTCCAACAGTCACTCTGAAGTAGCAACCGTATGTGTTAACAGCACAAACAGTGTTTTAAGAAAGTACCGTTTACAGTTATATATGCTTTGTGACCCTTGAAACTAGACACATACGCACTACAGGAGAGATTGGCCTTTGTGTAGCAGAAGTTAAAACACAGAGCTGTAAAAAAGGAAAAAAAAAGACATTGCTCGGTTATATGAATAGATAAAGCCCTTTTCACAGACACCCAGAGAAAAAAACCCAGCAATTTGGAGGTGAGACCGGTTGTTGCGGTACAAAACAAGTTTTGTTTTGTGCTTGCTCACCTCAGTTTAACAGTTTTTTGGTCTTTCATCTAGGTTTAGCTATCTACCTCACAGTCATGTACACATGCTCTTTTTTGTCTACATTTCTTTTTGTTTTCACTAACTGCACAGCAGTAGCTCTGGCCACATACAGAATTGGGGGCAGGGTCTTCTCAGAAAATGAAGCAGGTTTCATTTCAGAGGCAAATGAAAAAGGCTTTGTGGTTTTAATTAGTCATTTTGTGTTTATTTCATGGCCATAAAAAATCCTGTCTGTAAATATGTATTACTGTTGTGTAGCAGGCCTACACCTTTCCCTCCACTGGCTCCCTTACTACTTTACATCTCACAACAAAGCCAGACTGTTTGAAGACTGCAGGGAGAGCACACTGCATCAGTTGCAAATCTTGTCTTTAGAGTGTTTTTTTTTTTTTCAGAGTTGCTCTTTGTTGATTGTAACTAGGGCATCTATATTGCCATGTTTCTGCTCAGCTCACAATTAAAACATTTTTTTCCCCTCTCTCTCTCTCTCTCTCGCCGCTGTCTTTCAAAGGCTGATGCGGAGTGCACGTAATTATGCATATAAACATAGTGGCTTAATTATCTCTCACAACATCAGTGACAATGTAATTAACAAACATTGCAAGATCAATGAGAGAAACTGCGACCTTCAAAACATTTAACTCCTCACATTGAGGCATCGTGCGGATTTCCTATCAGTGCAAAACCCCAGAATACTTTTCCTAGATAATTTAGATGTCGCATTAGAGCCCTCATAAGCCAGTCAATGGAAAAACCAATGAATAAAAACTATGAAAGCAATGACAGAGATGCTCATAGCGATGGATCAAACAGGCTTGACCATGACTTCCATTTGCAATTCTGGGTTCACTGTAAAAGGTTATTGTTCATTTCAAGCTGTTTCAAAGCCCTCTCTATTTACTGCCTGTTAATTAACTAACCAAACAGCGAGGAAGTTTGAAGCTGCGTACAATTTTGTGTGTGTCAAATTAGTCCAAACAAATGCACATAATGTCATTTATTCAAAGCAACTTTTTATTAGGATACCACTGTCCATTTAAACACAACACACTTAAACTAATTCACTAACATGAACACAAATTGCTTTTTAAAACTCTATTTAAATGATTGTACCATATAAAATAGTTCTCTGTGTTCTCCGCACTGCACTCCACTGAAAACACTGCATGTTATTAAAACATTTTTTTTAACCAAATGGTTTACATTGTGCATGTGTGGTTCAAAACTGACACCCTTTAGAGGGTATTCAAACTCTAGATTAGTCCATATATAGCCACTAGCATGCACCTTTATCATCAGCAACACCTCTGCCTCTCAGTCCTGTGAGCAGAGAAGCTATGCCACACTGATGGCCATGTTTGGTCACCCAAAAGGAGATATAATACCCATCTGTTATCATATCTGGGAGGGAAAATGTGGCCTAATTGCCTCAAATATAGACAAGGCAGGTCTGTGTCGTGTGCTGGATTTTGCTTGCCTGAAGTGTCAAGATTAGAAACCACTTCTTTGTAGATTTTCCAGTGACATCAGAGAGAGTGTAGAGGGAAATCTAGCAGGAGAGAAAATGATTAGAGATAAGGAAAAAAGGTTTAGTTTTTTGTTTGTTTTTTTTGGTTGAGTGTGGGTGGTAGTATTAGTGGTGGGGCCAATCCCACCTTAACCCATACAGAGTTTCCAACCCGGTGTCACATGACATTATTAAGAGGCAGTCAGATAGGACTTGAGTAGAAAACTCATTTACATCGTGTTTTAGAAAGGTTATCTCCTGTCAGTCCCAGTCATAATCCTTTCAAGTCCAATCATTTGCCTTTCATTGATAGCACGTCACATGGCTCCGCTGATGAATAAAGAGACTCGACTAATTTTTTGAAGAAGGTGATGATAATACCCTACGCAAACAGAATATGAAAAAAGGGATATCGGTGCTCCCATGACAGAAACCACTAGTCTGTCTGCAATAATTAGCAATTGACCCAGTTGACCCACAGAAATTATAGATGTTTTATTTAATTTGATATCTACTGCAAAACAGCAGTCAATAGGCATAAAGCTATTCACAGTCAGTACAGAATCAACTGTGACAATTTTCATATTAGTGATCAGAATGATTTATATTTTCTTTATTTGGAAAGCTTTTAATATGATTCCCATCCAATGATGTTTATTCTACCATGCTCTTTTTAAATATCATTCCTCCCTCAGTAAAGTGTAGTTCCATTTTCTGACTCATACTGGTGTGGGCGGGTCTGCCCTAACTTTAGAGCTATATGATATACCGTGACCTGAGACACCCTTATAAATACAGTAGCAGTAAAATCCAACCAAGCACTAAGGTTATCAACACCTAAATTAAATGAAAAGAATGTTCAGCCAAATTACATTTTACACGGACATGTTCAGATTTCCCTTCAGTGATCTGTTATGTATATCAGCTAAACAACTTGATGTACAGTATAAGGTAAATTGTAGTGTACTCAGCAGTAGGTTCTTGTATATACAGTATGTCACTCTGTGGTTTAAGCACATGTAAAAACTTTGATAAAACGATCTGTGGCAATCATTCAGGTATTTCCTCTCAAATACCTGATCCATTTCTCTTAAATTTTTCATGCCCTTTCGATCCACCAGATACTCTTTCATACTGATCCACTGCGCAGAGGAGCAACCCCAACACAGTGAATGGAAATTTGGGGATTATTTTACATGCGGCACATGAGATGTGAAAAGCAGGGCACAGCGACTGATTTAGCAATAACTGAGAAATCTGAGACAAGAGCAGAAATATTTGTGTATTAATTACCCGGGTGGTAGGTGGTATTACCTCTCACCACCTCATCTGTTTTCTGGTGATGAAAAAAGCAGTAAAACAATTTTTAAAAAAACTGTCCCTGTGACTGTGCCAAGGAGGAGTTAAGAAGGCCAAGGCTTTTACATGAGCCAGGTAAAATGATCATCTGGTGCATTACTAGCATGTCTGTGTTCTGGGTCCTGCCTAACATGAGAACTGACACAACAGATTTTTGGAATTGGGTTTGATCAGCAAACACAACTGTCTGGGAAATGTTTCCTCAAGAGTCTCTCTAGTTTTCTGTCTCTGTACCTTTTCCTGTCTGTCCGTGCTCCTCTTTTTTATGCAGAGGTTTGTCTCTCCACTGCTTTCAGGCCAAATCATTTTTCCCTTTTCCCCACTCTCTGACCCCTTGCACTAACCTGGATGAAAGTTAATGGGCCAGAATTAATCTCTGCATAATGCAATTAAACTATACATTGACTATATTTCGCTTATGTCCTTGGGGAAGTTGTCCAATTTAATGGACTCTTAAAATGAAAGTGATGTTTCAGTTCACAAATGTGTAAAAAGACGAAAGGAGGAAATAATTTGTTCTTTTCACTCTTGTAGGTTACACAATAATGATCATATTTTCAAATACCTTACACCAAGCTTCAAGGGAGATTGTATGAATTGCATGCTATAATTCCTCAGCAGATAGTAGTTATAACTGTATTTTTCAAACCGCAGCATCAGTCTATATATATATATATATGTATGTATATTTATGTGTCTATGTGTGCGTGTTAAAATTTGCTGTGTAAGAAGATTTTTTCTAAAGCTTCCCCTATATATTTTTGTCTCACATATGGTCTCTTAATGTGGTATGTATTTCTGTAAAGGTTATTCTGATTAATTTAGAATTGCTGTTATTACAGTAGCATAACATTATGAGCATAGAAAATCAAAGGTTTGTTTGTTCAGTGTGTCTTTTGGTACAGTCACCCGCAAATTCTGCAGGACTGACTTATAGTGCAACCAAAACAGGAAGAGCATTGCCTCAGACTGCTTGTCTGTAGACACATGAATACACAGACATGTACAGGTGTTGTTGTAGCTTGCAGTGCAGAATCACTTTTCCTGTTGTTAAATTTACAACAGTTCTGAAAAAACAGCAAGTCAATTATAAGAATTTATTGCTATATCATGTAGTAGTAGTTCTACTAGTTTAGCAGTCTTCCATTGTCACAATGTAGCAGCATGTTTGCCTAAAATGTTGAAGTGAGAGAGCATTGTTTCATTAATTGGGCTGACAAAATATATTCTCCACTTGTAACACAAAACTACTTTGCCAGATTAGTCCATTTGTAACAAATGTATTTGATGCCAAACAAATAAATAAATTATCAAATATAGACTCTTGCTACAAAGAATTGCAACAATGTAACACTTGTCGACCAAGCATCAGTCAATATTAAGCAAGAGAGAACCATTTGGTGGACTGATCGAGTGACATGAATTTGGCCACTGATTTGGGTTCAGTTTCATTACTCAAATAAAAAACAATCATACCAATATATGTTGTTTTAGCAAGTAAAGACTTAATTACAGTAATGCCAGACAGCACCGATGAGGGACTTTACTAAACTCAATAATATTTTTCAACTCTGGTAGCAGTATTAAAGAGAAAAATCTGAAAGTAGTAAGATTTATACATCTTACATAGGAGCTCACGTCTCTTTTTCTCTGTGCAGGAGAAGCATCTGCCCTGCGAGACTATGCAGCCAACACCATGAATGAATTTTTGGGAATGTTCGGTTATGATGACCAGCAGGTAAGGGATGAGCTGACCAAGAAGATCAGCTTTGAGAAGCTCAAAGCCGCTACCTCAGACCCCTCATCCCTCAGCAGTGAGGAGGCCTCACGGCGTGCCCGCTTCTCTAAGTACGAAGAGTACATTCGCAAGCTAAAAGCCGGCGAGACCTTACCTTGGCCCATTCATGCTTCCCCACCTAAACCAGACGACCTCAACTCAAAACTGGCCCAAGACAAGAGCGCTACCATGCTCCACCAGACCTCCGGGTGCCTCCCAGGGGCCGAGGCACAGATCTACCCCTCCCGCCTGGACCACAAACAGCCAGGAGGACCTCAGCTTGGCACTTCTCAGCCGCCAAATCCCGCTCACATCCAGAACATGGCATCCCGAGCCTCCAAGTATGACTTCTTCATTCAGAAGCTGAAGATGGGCGAGAGTCTACAGCAGCAGAACGGTAATGCTTATAAGCGACCCTCCAAGTATGACTTGGAAAATGTCAAGTTTCTGCACCTCTTCAAGCCTGGTGAAGGCAACCCTGACATGGGCGGTGCCATCGCCTTTAAGACTGGCAAAGTGGGCCGTCCTTCGAAGTATGACATCAGAACAATTCAGAAGCTAATGCCAGGAAATCCTGAGGCCTCACTGATGCCCAATGTCCTCGCTACAGCACCAGGGAACCCAGGAGCTCCTGGTGTCCCCACCGTAGCCGCAACTGGGGCCAGCATCGCCCCAGGGCTCACAATGGACCAGACGGGACACTTAAGCTTCAACGCCTCTGACTACCTGAAGTCCAGCTTTTCCAAGACTGACTCCATCACCACAGGGACTGTGTCCTCTGTTAAGTAAGTCAACTTATCATATAAATCATCATCATATAAACTAGAGAGACACCTCCGCCAAGTTTTTAGTCTGTACTAAAATACAAATAGAGATAGATAATACATATTTTTTGAGATTTAATAAATCTCTTCTATGAATAATAGAGTTGTGCAAACTTATAAGCAAGTCACAAGCTTATAATGTGGCCATAGTATCACCCATATGCGAAATGATATAACATTTTAGCATTTGTTAGATTGGTCAGATTTTGAGCTGATTGGATTAAATTTTTAGCTTGATTGGTGAAATAAATGTTAATAAATGCGGCATGGCCTATATGAATAGATACATGTTTGACCAGGAAATCCAGTTAAAAAATAAAAGTTTGTTCATTTTAGTTCAGCAGAATTGAGCAGAAAGTATAGTGCAACAAATTGATGGCACTACCAAAAACTAATTCTAACTTCTTATGGCTGAACTTCCGACTAAATGTCATTGAAATCTGTTTAGTGTATCATGAGATATCCAACTAACAAACAAACAGACAAATAAATGGTGCAGAAAAGTTCTTTGGCGGAGTCAACAATAAGGTAATAAAACTTTTGGGGAAAACTTGCCTCGCATCCTTTCTCTTATTGATTATTGTGTGATTTGTGCTTATTGACAAAAATACTGCGTGGCATACTGCATTAGTTATTTACATCAAAACAATGCATGCGGTTTAAAAAGTCAGCTTATTACTGGTGGATTGAAAAGATTCCAAGTTCCAGTGGAACACCTTGGAGCTAATGTGAAGCTCACATACACTTAACTGCTACTGTGAGTCAGTTAGCCTAACGCAAAGGTAATTGCTACCTCCACAGCAGCCAACAGGAATGTAGTGTGAAATAGCGCATAGCGCCCAATAGATCCACGACATGATGAGTTGCGAAGGCACATGAAGTGTTTACTCGCTGTAGCACTCCGTGGAGACTGATTTAGCACAGTCATCGCAAAGTGACTGACTTCTTTCGTTTGGCTAGGGTGTAACAACTCTCCCTTTAATTACTTTGGAGCCATGACTAACCTCCCGGCGAGTCACAGGGGCCGACTCTACACTGCCTGACGAGTGCACTTTAAAGGAAGCAAACGAGGGGTTTGGGGAGCTAGCCTACAGTCGTGTGCACTACCAGTAGGAAACAGCTCCCAGAGTCTGTTTGATTGGTTTTGACCTTGTCTCTAGTTAGTCAAGACCTATCAAAGACACTGTTCAAGAGCCCTCAGGCACCTCTCCCTCAGGCTTTGGCCTTTGTCAGGTTGGGACTCAGTGGAGCTGCAAGCTTGGCTAACTGACCCAGTCTGGTGCTTGTATACAGAGAGGAGAGGGGGTGCTAGGGAGAATGTCTGGCAGTGCATCCTCCCCTCCGGGCCAGATTAACCTCAGGTCATCCCCCGTGTGGAGCTGCTCACATGGAGCTAAATGCCATTTCTGAAAGGGAGCAAGCAGAACCAATACTGTATTATGACTGTCATTCTACAGACAGTACTGCTACCAGCTTCACATCACAGGTGAGAAGAAGCCCACAGTGTTCCTCAGCACGCCTCTGTAATGTGATAAATTCCTCTTGATTTCCTGTTCAAGAACTGAATCTGATTGAGCTTAAACTGGTACTGAGTCGATTAGTTTGATCCATATGTATTTAAAGCTGCAGTGTTGTCTTACATCTCTGTATGAAGTGAGTCCAGACTGATTGGAGACAACTTGACATCAGTATAAGAGCCAAGGCCCTTAGAGATTATTAGAAAAGACCTTTTCAGAGCTTTTCTTCCACATCCCCATTATCCAGTTTTGCATATGAGCACTCACCAAAATACCCCCATAAAAGATTAATGTCCCTTTGCTCTTGCATTTTGCCTTTCATTGGTTGGGAGACCATGCATCAAAGTGTGCGCCTTCCATCCCTGATTCATACGGCACATGAAAACGCTGTTATGCCACAAGAAAATGTATATTGATAGTCCAAAGTTTGGGAGCGGCTTGTAAGTAAATATTGTGTCAGTTTGTTTTTATTAACAACAGGCAGCCCAACCTCACCATTAATCCTGTCTCTTTTGTGTTTGCTGTTGCATTAGGAATGGCCTGCCACCAGATAAACCCGCCAGCGACGACATCAACCTCTACCAGAAATATATTGCCAGGTATGCAAATCCTTCAATGTGCTACCCCAATGAAAAAATATACCCAAAACAGAGATGAACCTTTTTTTTTTTTTATGTCTCTGATGGTGTGTTTTATTCAGTGATGTGACTAGACCGTAGACTGGTATGAGAATGTTCTGTGTGCAGTAAATTGATTAAGAAAAGTCTCCAATTTATATGCTGAGAGGGAGTAGAAGGATGAGGGGTAATGAAAGTGAAATGGTTTGATGGTAGCTTACTGTAACTGGTTGAATAAATGCTCATGGTGTGTATAGCACTAAAACATTCAGGGGAACATACAGTAATTCTGTGCAACTCTGTATTGTTAGCTGTGACTGACACAGAGAGGATATGAGCGTAGGCTGGGTTCTTCTTGAACTCTGCCGTTTATTGTTGAACACATGAGGAACTGACTGATCTAAAAAGTCAGTCATTCACACCAACACAGACAAAAACATCAGGGGAGGGGAGGTATCTTGTGTTTCAATGGACACAGAACAATGTCCCCCATTCTGGATTCATTTTGAGCCGACACTAGAAAGGTGATTATCACTTGTTTGTTTATTCCATTTAAAAAGAGAGAAAAACAGCATTTGAAAAGCCAAAGTGGCTTTGGCGTTAATGATTACTTCTCCAAGCCATAACATGAAGGGCACAAATCAAAGCCTTGGCACTGACAGGCACACACACACACACACACATACACACACGTCCTCTTCTGCACACACATACACATCGACACACACACACACAAAACCCCTTCCTTGGACTGATTACATTTTGCAAGAAGATTTAATTAAGGAATTTTTAATGAGGCTTCTGCTGGCACTGCCAAGAACTGTTTTGATATTTGCGCTGCATAATGCATAAAATTTGTCTAAACATCTCGGCAGTTGATGCACGGGGAGGCTGCAGATAAGCCCAGATACAGTTTCAATTTCCGTGTTGGGGTTGGGAAAAAAAGAGAAAGGATAGAAGAGGAGGGAGGAAAAAATGGAAAAGGAGGGCTCATAAAAAGGGCAAATGTAGCACCGAGAGGGGAGGTAGAAGCGGGGGAGGGTCCTCTTTGGAGCTAGGGCTAATGAGTGCACACTAATACTAAAAACCAGCTTTGTAAACATGTTCGTACTCAATCCCTGTGAAAAGAGAAAAAAAAGTTCTTCATCTCCTCACCACACTATAGTTTGATGTTTTAAAGAGCTTCCCTCGTACTGTTTAGTTGCAGTTTTCACTCTTTAAATGCTTTCATGCACCCACTATTGCCTCGGCACTTTGATCTGTGTATCTCTATTGTAACTGGAGATGCGCTGCAATCTCTGTATCGTGGCAATATTAATATTTAATCTGCTGCTGAATAGCAGCGGCCCATTAGGCCCCCTGACGCGGCAAGTGGGAATTGTCCAGAGGCAAAGTGATACAGCTGGGCAATGAGCAGAGGGGTGGGCCATAGTCTCAAGGGGATGGGGGGGGCTTTGTGTGTTCATAAGTGTAAATGTGTGTGCGGATGTATGTATGTGAAAGAAGAGTATAGAAAACACTAATGGTTAGGACATATGTTGGCTTTATTGTGGGCACACACGTAGTTCGACTTCTGCTTTTGTCTTCTCTAAAAGAGCCATCAAACCTTCCCAGAGCCCCCTCTACCTCTATCACCACACAGACACACACATACACTCACACAGCCAACTTATAAAGAGTAGTGGATATGCCGTTCAATTAGCTTAATGAACTCAGCAAAGTGATCTGTAAATGCAGCTCTGGGATAATCCTAACAAGGAAAAAACTGAAAGAGAGATGGAAAAAATATTACTTAGCCCCCTTTTCCCCCTCTCCTCTGCACTAGCAGATGGAGCTCTTGGCAGCAGCAGTGCAAATGTTTATTTGTGTGTTTTCACTGGTAATTGGAGGATTTTAACAGTCATCATCGTCAGGCTTATAATCACCACCGTAAAAGTGGCTGTACTGTAGCAAGCGGCAGCCTTTTTTTTTTTTAAACTAATGCCAGACTAAAATCTGTTTTTTTTGGACTCCAGATGAAAGAGTGAAAGGGTTTGGCGTAAAACGTAGACAGAGCTTTTCCTACATCCCAGGATACCTGACCCTTTTTCTCACAGGGTAAAACTGTGGTTAACCTGAAAGAACTGTGCATTGATTTGACAAGGGTTTTCACAGCGTTGAGAAATAAAGTAGTCATGGGGTTCCCGATCCTTGAGTGGGTGTGTGTATGCGTGTCAAGGGACAGGGTTTCAGTGTAATAAGTGTCTCTTACGGCTGCTTTGGAAATAAATGGAGCTAATTTGGCTGAAATTGGTGTGACAGACGGGTAAATTGTTGCAGCAGTGTGGAAAGCAGAAGTCAGTTTGAAGGTGTGAGCTGTGTTACTTTGAAGGTGAGAAGAGCATAATGTCTTTGAAAACTCCTTCAGTTTTTTTTTATTTTGTGCTGTTCCTGGTATTTCTAATAATTTCTTCACTAATAGTTCTTGATTTGCTTTTGATTATTTTAAAATCACACTGACATCTTTCAGAGCTGCTTTATCATTCAGCTTTTTCATCCCTGTGACTGGTCTCGCTGCGATAAGCTCTGATGTGTTCCCGGGTTTTGAACCAGTCTCGATGTCATTTAAATTCCCTGCTCTGTGTGACGGTTAAAATGTGTAACTGTTGAAATGTGTCCCGCAACTTGGTTTTCAGGTTCTCTGGAAGTCAACACTGTGGACATGTGCACTGTGCATACCAGTACAGAGAGCATTACCACTGCATGGACCCTGAGTGTAACTACCAGGTGAGCGTGAGTATTTTATCACTTTTTTGAGCATCACCCAAATACACATTTAACCTTTTTCTCCTGTATGTTAAAAACTTCAGTATAACTTCAAGGTCAATTTAAGTTCAGAAATGAGAAAAAGAAGACAATGGTAATTTTGTTTAAAGTGCCAACCTTCCTGGTTACTAGTCAACGCTTAGGTTTCATTTTTTTTATTCATAACAAGGTTCGGTTAGGTGACTTAACGCTAAGCATCCTCTTTTTCTTCAGGACACGATGAGGATGTGGTGATTATAGGATAGACAAACAGTATAATGTGTCATCTTTTCATTTGTGGTCACACCCAGCCAAAGTCTACTTGGATGAAAAGTTTGTTGGCCTTTGGTTTGCCAAATATACTATGGGTGTCTATATCCGTTCAGTTTGCAGGCTTCTTCCGGGCACAGTTGGTCTTTGACAGTTGGCCTTTTATCACAAGGGGTTAATTGTAAATATGCTTGAAATATGGCTCTTTTTTTTAATCTATGTGTTCTTTTTTCTGAAGACATCTGCCACTGACTCGGGGCCTGCCTTTAATCCCCTTTCACATTATTAATCTTGTCCTGGTCCCAGGAGTTGTCATGTATGGCACAGGAAGGAGAAAAAACACAGAGCAGATCATAATACAGGCCTTGTGTTTGCTGTAGCATATGGCCTGAGAGAGTTATACAAACACGGGAAGATTTGTCAAAGATGTCAAAAATCCATGCACGGCTACGGTTGTGTGTATTTTCCTTCCTTTCCTAACAATTTTCTGAATTAAGCCATCTTCAGCTGTAATCTCCTTTGTCTGCTCCTGATCAAGAGAGATTACCGCTCGATAAATATTGTTTATGTGGTGAAAAGCATTACAGATCCACGCTTTCATTTTCTGCATGAGTCCCACTTCGCAGTCTGATGGGACACATTCTTGGAGGAATACAAAGGAAAATCATTTCGTGTCATTATTTAGAGTGTTAGTTCAGGTTATCATGGCAATTTCCACGGTCAGGTCCACATTTCTCTGTTGCTTTTGTGTTGCGTGGAAACACAGATATGCTTTGGAAGCCAGCTCTCTGGGATGTCAATACCCTGAAAAAAACAAGCAGGCAGTGATGAGCAGCCCCTTTCGAAGCGATAACTCATGAAATGTTACATGACACACTCTCCTGGAATATTATCCCACTGCCAGCCTCCGGGCGATTGGCTGAGTCTTAACATTCTCCTTTCATGGGCTTGTACATGAGGGAGAGTGTGCATCTTGCCACACTAGTGGGAATCCTAAAATAAATGTAGCAAGTGGCTCCCAACCTTCTCCACCACTCAACTGAAAATGAGATCTTTTTCCCAGTCAGCTCTCTCCATGGCCTATTTTGGACGGCTTGATGGATCGAATGTACCATGACCGCAGTTCAACTTATCTTCCGGTCATCATTAATCACTAGATACCAGAAAGTCCAAAGCCCAGAACTGAGCTCTGGTCTTTTCAGGAAAATTATTCAAAAAGTGATGAATCCAAAGCATTCATCAATTAAATTAAAAATCCTAATGAAGTGTTTGCTCCTGCAGGAGTCAAACATTTCAGAAATATGCGTTGGGAAACAGGCCAAGAGCAAAGGAATGAACAGCTGTGTGAGATCTTAGCTTTTTACTTGTGCGCGAGTGGAACACATGACACAAAGCAATTACCCTACTTTGTACAGCAATTAGTTGCTTTTTAGAATACTTCTTTCTGATGTTTTTCCCTCAACTGGAGATAAATATGGATTGAAGACAGAACTGTCTCATTGATTTGCGCTTCTCCCGTTACAGTTTCTGTAACATCAGCTTAAGCCCAATTACAGCAGATTTGGTTGCTGCAAGTCTCTGTGGAGTGACTTTTCTGTTTTCCCTTCCTGACTCCTGGGTGTGGGAGGGATTTTTATTTTTATTTATTTATTTAATCATTTTGTAATTTTAGAAGGCAGGTCTCTTAGCATATTCACTCATCATTACAGGCGAAGGCTTCACCAAAAGCGAGTGTTAATGCTTTAATTAAAAATGGAATCATATCTCAGTGAATTGAAAGGGAAAACGTTTTTTGGTTGGCTTGTTTGTTTGTTTGTTTCTCTTGTCTTCTGTTTTCCCCTGTGCACGTCTGAGAAACCATCTGCACGGAACATAATTTTTCCAGAGCCAGAAACATCAGAACTGTGATCTTGCATGTCAATTGATTCATCTTAATTAAAAAAATACATTTTGGTGGAAGGGAAAACATAATGTAGAGACAGTGGGTGTATGGGGAACATACTTCATGTTCCATGTGGAAGCTTCTCCTGTGCTCAGAAAGTCCCAGAGCCTTTGGTGGTGGATTTGGATTGGACACAACTTTGAGATATGCAAAGTAAATCAATAACCACAGAACCCGTCATCTTTAAAGACATCTTGGCCCTCTCCATTGCAGTGCGTACAGCCCTCCCCCACTGCCAATTGGCTCCTGTACGTTGCAGCTGCTGCTTCCACAGAGATAAAGTGACTTGTTGCTGATTCTGTGACTGGTTTAAATAAACACCAACCTGTTGCTGTACATTTTTCCCCCTCCCCTTTTGCAGAGGTTTACCAGTAAGCAGGATGTAATCAGGCACTACAACATGCACAAGAAGAGGGACAACTCCCTGCAGCATGGCTTCATGCGCTTCAGCCCTCTGGACGACTGCAGTGTCTACTACCATGGCTGCCACCTCAATGGAAAAAGCACCCATTACCACTGCATGCAGGTACACAACAGAGACTCACATCTCATCCTCCACCTACACACGTACCCACAAAAAACCCACCCCAAACGTATAGTAGGCATGCAAACACACTCACACGGAAAATATCTGCAAATATGTCCACACGTGCTTATATAAAGTACAAATACCCCACAACTCATTTGTGCTGTTAAAAAAATGTGAAATATAATGTTGCATATAAATACATAATTCATCATTCAATTTACATTCATGAGCCACACAACAAAAGTGGTTGTCAGTACACCAGATCATACACTGTGCATGTAGAGTATAAAGCCGGGTTCTGTGTCCATTAAGAGCACAGCAAAGACATAATTTAATGACAGTTTAAAACTAGATAAGGCAGGTAAAAAAGGAGTTGCAGAACACTGTGATTTAGATGATGCCGGATCTGAGAAGTCATGCCACATAATAAGGCATGTACAACTTCAGGATGTTAGAGTCACACAGTTTACCCACATCTGTGAACTAGAATTAGTCTTCCACACCTTTTTCATTTTGACCAAAGTGTCTTTAAAGAGCAGTTTGGCAAAACATGTCTTAAAGTAAATAAAAGAAAATTGAAAGGGCTGAATACACGTGAGGCTGCTTGTTCTTTCCCACCTCTTCGCTCTCTCGCTCCTTAATTGGCATGGATAAAATTCAGTTAGGTGTTTATATAAACTACACATTTTTCATCTTTTAGTACCAAGCAGCCAGTTGAAGATTATTCCCCCTTCTGGATTTGTTTAATTTTTTTACATCTGCTTATTTTCAATGTGTCATTGTGCCGAGAGCGCTCTCGCCGGCAGGGCAGCAGCGCAGCGGAGGATGGCTTGAGATATATTCTTTTTTAAACCCCTCTAACGGCGTAATTGTTATTAGGACATTTCAGCCATTGTTTTAACAGTCCCTGAGAACCTGCAGATGTTGGCATCGGCTCTCTTGATTTAGGGGGAAAAAAAACAGTGTGGCATTTTTTTCATTGTTTGACTCAATATGGAGAAGTTGCCCGGTTTGTACGGGGGAAAAGTGCCAGGGATGATATACAATTGCTGCTTTTAATTCAAACATTACCTGTTTTTTCCCCCTCTGTTGGCTCTGAGGACTCTTGAGTACCAGAACATTTTAAACTAAAGACCAAGACAGTCATCTTACTCTCGTCTGCTTTCCTCTGCCCCCCAGCTTTTGAAATTCATTCTCAGAGTTACAGTAAGTTTGTGGTGACTGCATTGTCACCCTCCAAATATGAATTTCATTTTCTAAAAGGCAGGTTTGCCAGGAAGGTATTTTAGTTTCAGCTGCCTGCTGTGGCCACTGCCTCTTTCAGTCACTTTTTTTTTTTCCAATTGTCACAATGACAAGATTGTTTCCAATTCACGGGTTTGACTTGAAACTTGTACAGCTCTGGTGTGCATTACCACAAATTAAATTGTGAACGTGTGAAAACAACCTTCTTCCACCCATTTCTAGGCCACTAGCATTTTCTTAACCACACTGAGCTCTTGCGTGTAGTGCTTGTATAGTATATCACTTCTCTTTAAAGCACTGCGTTTTAGAAGTTTGCTTTTTTCAAACTAGTCTTGCAAACTGAAACTCTCATATCTGCTGTGGGCCTAGATCTTGTTTTTGATTGCCATGCTATGTCTATGCTTTGCAGGTGGGCTGCAGCAAGGTGTACACCAGCACCTCAGATGTCATGACCCACGAAAACTTCCACAAAAAAAATGCCCAGCTGATCAACGATGGCTTCCAGAGATTTCGCGCCACCGAGGACTGTGGCACAGTCGGGTGTCAATTCTACGGCCAGAAGACTACACACTTCCACTGCAGGTGAATAGGCCTAATGTGGTGGATATTTCTCATTAAAAAACACTTTATATATACTTTAATTTTTTTCATCATTTTAAAATTAATTAAAGCTGCAGAGGTCTATAATAGCAGCAGATTAACATAAAAATAAAAGCCATCAAATCAGCAGCAGAAAAAAGGTAATATAGGCACGGTCCTTTATAAATGTTTCTAAATAAATGATGCAGCACACAGTCTTAACATCAAAACCAATGGCTTCCCTTATGCTTGGTCTGCACCATTAGTATTTTTGAACATCACAGAATCACAGTTGAAAGGAAAAAGGAAAAACAATATGTATATATTAAAAAGTAATTTTGAATTTTTTAATTGAAAGGCATTGCGTTTTGTAAGTTTGCATCAACCTCTTATTTTGAAAAGCATGCACTACAACTATTATCAATTGATGTAGAGAATCACTTGCTTTATTCAAACTCCCTCCCTGGAATGTATCCCTCTGGCAAAGGTTGCAGGTGGCAACGTGTCAATGATCTGCTGCTGTGTTACTGAACCGCCTCAGTTATCATTCCTCCATTGTGAAGTATTTGAATCATGTGGACCCACTCCACAACTCCCTTCCGCACCGAGTTACTGAGGTTGCTTTGTAACAGAGCATCATAGCTAATTATGTTTTCCCTTTGTTTTCCATTCTTTTTTCAGGCGCCCAGGCTGCACATTCACCTTCAAGAACAAGTGTGACATTGAGAAGCACAAGAGCTACCACATCAAGGATGATGCCTATGCCAAAGATGGCTTCAAGAAGTTCTATAAGTATGAGGAGTGCAAGTACGAGGGCTGCGTGTACAGCAAAGCTACCAACCACTTCCACTGCATCCGCTCAGGCTGCGGCTTCACTTTTACCTCCACCAGCCAGATGACCTCCCACAAGCGCAAACACGAGCGCCGGCACATCCGCTCCTCTGGTGTCATGGGCCTCTCTTCCACCTTCCTTGCCCCGAAGGATGAGCCAGAGGAATCGAGCAATGATGACCTGATGGACTTCTCGACCATCAGCAGCAAGAACTCCAGCCTGAGTGCCTCGCCTACGACCCAGCAGTCCACCACTGTACCACACCTGTTGGCCACACCCACCACTGTTGTCTCTTCCTCCTCTACATCAGGCCACACCCTCAAACCTGCACCCTCGCTGCCCAGTGCGGGCCAGCGTATGTCCAGCCTGCTGTCCCAGGCCCTGCCCAGCAACATGCCAGTGGCCCTTGCTCTTTCCAACAGTGCCCTGGCGGCCTCCAACCCATTCTTCCCTCTCATGCCCAGGCTGCCTCTCCAACCACCTCCACCGGCAGCAAGCCTGATATCAGCCGTATCCTCTGGTGCCCACTCCATGCCCACCGACTCACTGACCCAAGGATGCTCCACAGTTGGGGCAGATGGAGCAATGGCATCTACCCCAACCTCCTTCGCCACCTCCTCCATCATGGAGAAAATCTCGGCAAGCAAAGGTCTAATATCACCCATGATGGCCAGACTGGCAGCTGCGGCCCTGAAGCCCTCCAACAACCCAGACATAGGTCAGTCACTTTACAAATAGTCATACTATGTACTTATTCTTTTTGGATACACAATGGAAAATAGTTCATTTGTGCTTAGATGAGTATGAAAAACAATTTTGATAGGCAAATTTCTTTGCTTATAACTCTATTTAGAGACAATTGTGTATATATATATATATATATATATATATATATGACATAAAAAAAAATATCACAAACCAAAGCTTTTGAGCTATGTCATTGTCCATAGACAATATATTGTATGTATACTAAAAGCCACATCCTTTTTCTGTGTGTGGACTCTACTACAGCCAGAGAAGACAGAGTGCACTCAGAGGTCACTTCTATCACTATCCCACGGGGGAGAGAGAGGCAGAAAAACTGCCGCTTTCGGGCTTAAAGGGACATACCGGAGGCATGGTCCTCTGCTCTTGGCTTGTTATTGTGTTGATCGTTTGTTAGATACCCACAATCCATTTGGAGATAAATGCGCTGACAGGGGAGAGTAGAGCCTGTAAAAGTCTCTTATGATGTTCAGAGTGGGGGCTCCTGGGGCTTGTGTCGAACATGTTTCCTCATCATTGGTCTCTTATCTATGTCTGCGCCCGTTCCAAGCAAATGGAGGTGGAATGAAATTAAGTTCAGAAATTGCGAGAACAAAAAAATGTTGTTTTTTTTTCTTTTTCCGTATCCCTCTATGCAAAACTGATAATAAAAAAAAAAAACAGAAATTGCTCAGGCAGAAATGACTCAATGCACCAGAGCTGAGAAAGAGGCTTTTTCTCACTGATACAAGAACTCAGACACACATGCATGCATCAGCAAAGACACACTTTTTGAATTTCCAGAAATCTTCTGTTCCCACAAAAACATGTCAATATCTATTTAGCATAAACACAATTCACATAAATTTTGGAGGTAATTGCCTTGTCTATGTTTATCATATTGCTCTAAACAAAGCTTCTGAAAATGAAAATGAAGTTAAAGCATTAAATTGATAATGCACTGCAGAGCACAGCCTTGCATTCAGTAGCAGTTGGGCCTCCTGTGCTGAGCCTGAGCAGGTGGGGAGCGGATTGTAAATGGGGGTGCAAGGGGGAGCATCTCCGGATGTTGGGACTGGGAAGGATTACAATTCCTGGTGGTGTTCCTGGAGCAGGACAGGCCCTGGGAGAGAGCTGGGGCAGCTGCTCCGGGGAGCTGAGCTGAGCCCAGGCTGTCAGGCTGAGCTCCACCTCTGGGTTTCCAGCAGGTAGTCTGAACACGGGGGAGGCCCCCACTGAGGGTGGGGCCTCCACAGATGGTGCCTGCACCACCCCTCTCGTTGTCTTACTGAGAGGCTGCATCTCAGATCTCTGTGTCAAATAACAAAGCTAGTTTGGAATAAGCTTGCGTATCTCAATCACATACTTTTGTAAAAGTTCAGTGCGCATACAGGATGGAGCTGCAGTTTTGTTTCTCATATTTGCTTCATAAAATGTGTGAACAGGACATTTGGGGCTAAAATGAGGAGGAAGTGGTTTGTGCTTCTCTGTCAAAAAGGTGTGAGAAAAGTCACAGTGTTTGTGGCTATTTTTCACAGTGTTTATTTTTTCATGGGGTTGTGAAACTTCATCTGTGTTGTGGTGAATTGTGCATTTTTCCTGTTTCTGCTTTCAGTATTTTTTTTTATATTAATGTTCCGCTCTAATTTACCCGTAAGTGTTTTTCCCAGAGATTCAAGCATCTGAAGGGTTTACTAATTAGACACACAGTACAAATGATCTTTCACAAGCTCTGTATCTTATCCGGAGTAATTACATGGTGATACATTATTCCTGGATAATTTCCAGAAAGAAGCTGCTTTGAGTCAAACTCATTTGTTCTCCCTCTTTGGGAAGTGGATAAAAAAGAAAATAATGTGATGTGCAACAGAATAAGAGACTTATACACTATAATCCACCTTAAATAGCCAACTTATCCTCTTGATATAGTGAAGGAATGCTTAAATCTGCCAGATGATCATACTGTATGTAGATCATATAGTATGTGGCTACTCTTGATATAATGTGCTCTCATTTGGTCTGAGTGTTGATTTAATTGTCAATGACAAGGCAGGATCTGTCTGGCTAGTTAATTTTGGGTGTACTCTTATCAAGTTGGGGGGGCACTGTACGTAGACTTGGTTAGCATTCAGTGACCTCAAACCAGAAGCAAAATTGTTTGACTGCTGTTTTCCTTTAGCCCCACCCCGACCCCACCACCAGCCCCTCCAACCTCAGCCATTGTCAAACTGACACTGACACTTCCTCATCTCCTAGCTTTCAGCTGACAAGGCCCAAGACTGGCTTTTCCACTCCTATTCTGCCTGATATGTCTCTGGGTCATCTTGTAGCAGGGGGGAACTCTGGTCGTTTTCCCCCTTACGTAGGCTGGTCTTGTTTTCGCCCCTGCAAGAAAAAAGGATAGGGGCCTCACCAGGCATGGGCAACCAAGGGCATACACTTGGTTGCCCATGACCTTGCCTGTCACTATCCCTCAGGACCAGTCCATATTCCTAAACAACATATTCTTCACCAAACCAATCACAGCCGCTGGTGCTCTCCGGTTTTACAGTGTTTGAGATGCTACACCAGGGTCACCCCTCCCACTCACTTATCCTTTTAAAAATAAAACAGCACTTATTGTCTACCACAAGCCCAGCTTTCTCTGTGTAGCCCCAGGACAAATTAATATTTCAGTCCCTTGGGGGATCAGGGGGTGGGGCAGAATTCACCTTCCTGTCAGCATTTTTACCCCACGTCATTCCCCTGGTCTTTATTTATTTCATTCCAGCGCTCCTGTCCTCGCTCACAGCATCCACTGAATACCTATTTGGAGGAGAATGTGATCGAGAGGTCACGCTATTTGAACCAATCTGATTGGCTGTCAGCTCCAATCTGACCGACATAGCACCCCTGTTCCTTGTGGGTATGCTCAGTGGCATTGGCTGCCGTCCGTTGTCAGGCCAACGAGGAGCCTGGGAAGGTGGGAAGGGAGGGGGGTGGCCAATCTGAGACTGCCACTTTCCCTCAGCATTAGCATCTCACTTAATGACCAGTTAAGAGGCAGCCTGGCAAATGAGTTGTGACAAGTGCTGCAGAAAAAGGAGTCTTTTTCCCTCATATCTCCCGCCTCTCAATCACCATTTAAAAGGCTTGACGGCCTGACATAATTCCGCAATAATTATCACTCGGAGTATTCTTTTCAGGCCAGGACAGAAGTCAGATTGGATCTCGTCATAGGATAATAATGCTGACCAACAATAACTTTGTTGTCTCTTCTCTCCTCTGCGTCTATGGCTTGATCCTCAGGGAATGGGCAGCCGGCTTCAGTCAGCCAGTTCAATCTGGTTCAAGTGAAGCAGGAGCCAGTGGACGCCAATTCTGGGGCTTCCCAAGACTCCACGCAGGAGCACAGCCTGGACCTGAGCAAAAAAGAACACAGGTACACTACTGCACGGTACACAGTGGGTTAATGCTACGTGGAAAATGTTGATTCTTGTTGTAAATGCACCTAATATATTCGCAAAATAAATCAACAGGGAAATAAGGTTTCTCTGATTGATAGATGATTCCTACACTCTTGGCAGCCAGGGTTATATTCACAATTATTTATCAAAAATATCTCATTTATATACGTGTGCATACAATTATAAAATCCACAACATATTTCTCAATTTTTGTGAGGGAAGGATGTTTATATAAACCTTCAACTCCAATTTTCCCTCCAACTCACAGTAGATCTTATTTCTTAAGAAGACAGCATTTTTCTTCTTCATTATACAGGCACACCTTGTGTGATAAATAGTAATATTTACTGTTCTCATGCAAATCTTGACTAAACATTGTTCATTTTCCTTGTTCCAGTAATGAATCAAACGGACACCCTGTACCAGGGAATACATCTCTTTTATCCTCGCTTATGAATAAGGTAAGATCCATCCATCAAACGCCTTTCATCCAAAGACAAATTAGCGGGACACGGAGGGGCCTGTTTGTTTTTTAATGTTTCACCGCTAATAAGATGAGTTTGTATCATTTAAATTTTCCAGCCATTTTTCATACAGTGTAATTTTCACTGCACCTCTCACAAATTAATATAATGAAGCAGTAGCTGGCTTCCATGCCAGATATATAGAGATGTTTGTTTTTTGATGAGCTGTTTTGAACCCACCGTCCATTTTTTCTCCTCCTTTATACTTTTTCTTCCCCCGCCTCGCTCTACATTTATTTATAGAGTTTGTAAATTATTTGATTAAAAAATCAGAGGAGAAAAAAAGCAGGCAGGCGCTGCCCTCATTTTTTACCAACTCTAAATGTTAGCGTATGGAAATTTAAGTGTATTTTTTTTTTTACGAAGATTAAAATGGACATTGTCTTTATCATACATCTTATCTGATTGATATAAATGTGCTAGATGGTTTCCATCACACTGATGGTGTACTGACAAATCAGCTTCCATTTTTTTTTTACCCCCTCCCTCCATCCACAAACATGTCATCTTATTTAGCCTCTCCCCAGGAGAGCTTAACTTCAGAGTTGCTCTCCTCAAAGCAGTCATTAAACCCAGACAGTGGAGGAGCTTGAAGACCTGTTGTCCAACAGCTCCTCGTGTCATGTCATCTTTTCGGGGTTTGTTTCAAGCCACCACATCACATAAAAGGGTTAACAGTTAGTCCCAGAGGACGCTTGGCAAACACGCTTGGCCTGCACTCAAGCAAAAGCCTGGATGTTTGTAAATCTGGCTGTGCTATTATGCTTCGCCAAAACATTTGCGTGTGCGTGTGTGTGTTAACTCTCACACTCTCACTAACATATGCAAGTGCCCCACTTACGTATGCTCAGCTAACCAAGCAGCTGGTTGTTTATGTGCTGTGTGTTTTGTAGATGTCACAGGTGAACCCTGCCCTGTTCAACGCCATGAACCTGAAGACAGAGCTGGAGGCAGGCCAGGGCGGCAACACCTCGGAGACGGCGCAGTATCTGAACAGAGTCCTGAAGAGACCCATGCCAGAAAAACCCAGTGAGATCTGGAGGACATATCTCCGCAGGTATAAAACATGCAGGAAGTGCAGAGTCACTGTAGTTTGATTCACTTAGACTTGAGTCATTCATTTTGATAGTGAGAAAACAGTCAGAATGTTTAAAATGAACTGTACAAAGAAGACCTTTTTCTGTAAATACTATTCCTCACATACCGTATCACTGGAAACCCCCTGAAACATTAAGAATCCAGTCTTGCAGGAAATTGTTGACTTTTTACTGTTAATGAGAAGTTCAACCAGTTTTACTTTTTAGCATTTCTTGTTATTTGAGAAGCCAGTAAATTACAGTCTTCGTTACCTGTCTATGTTAAGGTTTGACACGGATGACTTCTGTGAGGCTCAGTGTGACTTCCTTCAGAAGGTGCACTTTCATTGCCTGGTAGAGGACTGTGGAGCACTCTTCAGCACCGTAGATGGGGCCATAAAACATGCTAAGTGAGTGTCACACTGGTTCATAATCAGAAAATATACCCTTTTCACATTTTAGCTTTCGGCTTTATTGATCAACATAAAAATGAGCTTCCATCTTGTCTTTCAGCTTCCACCTCCGAGCCACCTTGAAAGTGAAATCAGAGCCTCAGTTCGGTGAGGGCAAAGACTCGGGTGAGGGAGCCCCGCTGCAGCCTGCTGCACCCATCTCTATGGCCAACAATCCTTCCATGGATGTGGCACACCTCACCTCCTCTGGTGGCTACAGCTCTCCTCCTCCCTCCCTGCTGGCCTGGAAGCAACTGACCGGCAGCATCCCTCAGATGCCAGCCTCGATGCCCAACCTGCCGGCCAACTCCCCTCTGGCCACCACCTCTCTGGAGAATGCTAAGCCACAAGTCAAACCTGGTTTCCTGCAGTTCCAAGAAAAGTAGGAGAAACATTTATAAGTGTCTTATTACATTACAATCATTTATTTTACTCGTTTGAGCCAAGTGTTGATTAAACTGTATTTTCCATTTGTATTCATCCAGTGATCCCTGTTTGGCTACTGACTGTAAATACTCAAACAAGTTCCATTTCCACTGCTTGTTTGGGAATTGCAAGTATGTGTGCAAGACGTCTGGCAAGGCTGAGTCCCACTGTTTGGACCACATCAACCCAAACAACAACCTGGTCAACGTCCGTGACCAGTTTTCCTACTACTCTCTCCAGTGTCTGTGTCCCAACCAGGTGAGTGTGTGCCTTGATAACTCAGCCAGGAGCTGAATCACCTACTGTCATCTCCCAGAGTTTTCTAAGCATGAAGTATGCTATCTATTACACCAGTGTTTGAGGTTATTTGACTCAAGGCTTTCACAACCGCTGCTTCCCGTCTTCCATCTCTGCTGAAAAAGACAGTCGACTCACCCCAGTAATGCCTGTTTATATGTCAATGATGTCATTTTGACTGCCGCATTCTCCTCTCAGAAAAGGCCAATTTAGCTGATATTACCCAATAAATCATTGTCACTTGCACAGTAAACAAGGCTGTCTGGAATAGGGCAAAAATCAGGGGAATGCTTCGCAAATGAAACCTAAATGGCAGCCCTTGCCTGCTCTCACGAGCCCGTATTTGGAAAACCGTTTAAATGAATTCATTAATGTGTCGAAAATCACCCCACTCACAAAAAGTCCCCCCCTCCCTCCTCCTCCTTCTCATCCTCCTCCTCCCCTCCTCCCCTTAGTCTCCATCTCCTGAACTGAGCAGATCTTATTTGGCCCAGTCCTTTGGGATCTGAGCCTCACAAACAGATGGTGGTGTACAGACATGTTAGAAAGAAGGGGTGTTTGTGGGAAGCCTGGAAAAAACAGTCATCATACTTAGAAATGTGGGATGTTCCAAATGACCAGAAAGGAAAGAACAGTGAGGTGTTGATTATGTTTTTGGAGAATCTGTGTGTAGAGTTCGCTTTAACAAAACATCAGATAACTTATTTTGGCTTTCTAACATTCACCATATTTGACTCATGACATTGTAAATAATGGGTTCCTTCTGCAGCACTGCGAGTTCAGAATGAGAGGCCACTATCACTGTCTGCGGCCTGGCTGCTACTTTGTCACTAACATCACCACCAAGCTGCCGTGGCATGTCAAGAAGCACGAGAAGGCGGAGCGCCGTGCTGCCAATGGATTCAAATATTTCACCAAGAGGGAGGAATGTGGGAGGCTTGGTAAGAGAAAAATACTTCTGATCCTGTATACGTTTTGGCCCGCTGTATCTCTTCTTACCTTTTTGTCTTTGCCTCTTGTTCCCTCCACCATCCCAGAAGCCCTCCATGTCAGCCTAAACACCCCAGCTTTTCATAGTATCTTACCAGGAGAGATGTGTGGATTAAAGGTGTTAAATTGAGAAAGATGTAGATTGATTTTCAGTGGCTGTTGCAAGAGGATACTCTCTGTGTTTACAAAGGGAGAGAGACCAGTGTTGGCAAACACAGTGTCGTGCTATGTGAGTTGTTTAAGAGGCATGAAACAAGTCTGCCTCATAGGTTTTGTTGCTGTGTTTTGCATATTCACAATGGCACCTCAAGTCCCAAAGGTAGTCTTGCCTGTACTATATGAGCAATAACGTCAAAGGGGGCAATCACATCCAGGTTGTTTTCTTCTTCCTTTTGCCCCTGTCAGAAATGAGCAATTAGGTTTGTGTTTGTTAATTATCCGGCTTGTCTGGTTTAGCCTGTTTGTGTTCTGAAGCTGCGCCTCACAGCCACCGCTGCCATCACACAGAAATGAATTAAAAGTGATCTGTTTTTTTCAGGCTGTTACACAAGCTTTTCAGAACACAGAAACAAAGCAAACAAAAACAGGCCCTAAACAGCTGTTTTTTGTCCCCAGCCTGATCTGCTAACTGTATTGTTTGGGCTGGGGAAAAACAGAAAGGATTACCATCGCTAGCGCTCCAGTCATAAAGAATTGATGGGTTGCCAGTATCCATGGCAGCAACATTAAACTGAACACCGCTGATGATGTTACCTGGTTTCTGTCTCACAAAAGGCCCTCCATGTCACGCGGGTTACTGTTATTTGCTCAACTTTGCGTGTTTAAAACATTGTGTGTGCAAAAGCTATTTGATGACACAGACGTGTTGTGCTCTTAAACCGGGTTCCATGGTTACTGACATGCTAGCACCTGCCCAGCATGTTACTCTTTCAATTATTTCTGCCTGCTTTTATATAATGCTATTTGATTAACAGACACAAAACGGAACATTCATTTAATTTGAAATCATAAAGCAATTAGAGCTAGACCGGTTAAAACACTGGAAAAGAACAGAAGAATATGAAGCAGACAGCAGTACAATGGAGAACAAAAGGAAAAATGACAATGGAGATACTTTGAAAAATGAATTTAATATGTTAATAATTGTATATTTACTTTGGTTTGCAGGGGTGTGTGCATTATTGGCCCACAGAAAATGAGAATTTATTTATGTAAATTCCTAATTGAATAAAGCATGTCAGTGTAATAAAAGAGCTCCACAGGTTTAGTGCACAGAAGCCTTGACTTGCTCAGTGTGACACTGGAGTGATCTAATATTCCTCCTACATGTACACTCTGAAACACTTTGAAACCCGATCCCTCTTTTGTCAGAGCTATATCATGAAATTAAAAAAACCTAAAAATATTTCACTTTGTGTTTGATCTAATCATAACACCGTTTCACTGATGATATTGCGTTTAGTGCGCAGTAGCTGCTCTCAGACGCTTCTCAATGAGCCAAAGATAAATTAATCTGCGAATGGAGAGTTTACAACCGTTACTGGTTTCTTTGTGCAGGTTGTAAGTATAACCAAGTCAACAGCCACTTCCACTGCATCCGCGAGGGTTGCCAGTTCTCCTTCCTGCTCAAGCACCAGATGACCTCACACGCACGCAAACACATGAGGCGGATGCTGGGCAAGAACTTTGACAGAGTCCCATCCCAGGTAAACACACACACACACACACACACACACACACACACACACACACACACACAAACTGTGACATGTGACACATGCCATTCTGAAAAGGTAATTATCTGAAAATACATGCAGAACACCTCCGTCAACTAAAACAGGTATTGAATAGATTATTGAAACATATTCCAACAAAGCCAACTACTCACACACCCTTTTACAGAGAGATTACATAAGTATTTATCCAGTTTATATGTTCGGTCATGACATCTAGTTTCCTCTTATTCACTGATTTAGTTTTTCCAAAAAAAATACCAAGTTGTTTTAAAAGGAACAGATACATTTAAATGGACTTTCACCCACATTTTACGTTCCCTCAAACACATACAGTTGTTGCAGTGTCCGCTGCAAGAAGATGATGAAAAACCTTCTGGTTATAGATGAGGATAAATGAGGAGAAACAAATGTAAATTAGCTACTAAACTAAAGTGTTGCACTGCAGAAGGTGTTTTCTAGAACCGATTTTCACTTTCATTTTCAGAGTTTTATATTATTGGTTTAAAGAAATCTGACACGATTTCACCACTTTTCTTTCAGCTCAGAAATAATGAGGTATCTATTGTTTGTTAGTATCCAAAGTCTCTGTGACTTATGTACCTGCTTTTTTTTTTTTTTAAACCGTGTTTCCTGCTCTGTGAGTCAGATTCAGGGAAAAGAGTAACAAGTTCATTCGGTGTTCTGTAAAAAAGAGAGTACTGCTCATATCCTGTCATACCAGTCAAAGACAAATCACTCATGACATTCTTTTGATTAATTTTTTACACTGGAGTGTACTCTATTTCCCAACTTCACCTCTACGGTACATCCTGTACCGTACATAAATTTAAACATGTGGATTTTCTCGTTTGGTTTGCTTTTTTTTCTGTTTTGGAGCCTTCATGTAAGGCAGAAGTGAAGGGTTCATACTTTCAGAATACTTCAGAAGAAATTCTTGGTCGTACTCCAAGAGCCAACACCTGCATTAATAACACGTTATATCTTAAGATGTTTGTTTCAAATGTCCCTTTACAATGAAGTTTATTTGTTCCCTAGGTGATGCCGCTGAGTCAGAGGGGAGATGAGATGCAGCATGCATCCGGTATGATGTCCGGGTCTGTAGCGAACCAGCCCGGTATGAACTCCAGCTTCTCCTCCAACATCATGGATGAGACTGATGAGTACATGGACTACATGGGAGGAGGGGGCAGCCCATTGGGCCTCTCCTCCGAGTCCTCCAACCAGGACCGGAGCTGCACCAGCACACCTGTAGGCAACGATGGTTCTCCAGCAGGTGAGAACATGTTTTAAAAAAAAGACCTGACAGTTGTCAGTGTCAGCATGTAGAGCTTTAATATAGTTTAGTCAGGTTTTCTACTATTACACTCAGTATCATACATCATGCTTCACTTCATTTACCTTACCCAGGAAACCAGCAACTTTTCATTTCATACATTCTTCAATCATGTGTTTCATGATTTAGTAGTTTGACTCACAATCAGTAGCATAATGACACATCAGTCATATTATATGAGGTTGATGACAATGCTGTATTCTTATGTTCTGAGTCGTGGACAAGATCTTTTGCAGTTTGCCTGGTCATCCTCATAAAACATCCATTTTGTACATCAGTAGTTTGAGTTATTGCACTGTATGTAGAGCTTATTACATTTTCCTTTGGCCAGAGATCATCCCTGTGGCTTTATGTCTACTTTAGCACTTTTAGTGGGTTGAATTGTGGGAGAAAGGACAGGAAAGGAGAAACAGCCTCTTTTCCCTCAAACTTACTGAATAAATGGGTTCTCCTCTGCTTTTTTCTAAATCTGAGCCTGCCTGTGATTTTCACATTTCTCCATGTGTTGCCAATATTATCCACTCTCATCATTGTTGTTTTGGCTGGTGTTTGGGTTACTTGTCTTGAGTGGACCTCATTTTGTATCATTCTCTTATCTTTTATCTTTCCCTTTTTACCTCCCATCCCTCTGTGTGTGTGTGTGTGTGTGTGTGTGTGTGTGTGTGTGTGTGTGCGCGCGCGTGTGTGTGATTCGGCCCCTTTGTTTTTGTGTGTGTACCCGTCTGTGTTTCTTCCCCTCTTGTCTGTCCTTCACCCTCTCTGGTCAACCTGTCTCTCCAGGACAAGGCTATCCCGCCACCACTTCTGCTCCTACCACCCCTGCTGACACTAGCGCAAATGCACCTCCTTCTTCCCCTCCTCCTCCTCCTCCACTACCACCCCTTCCTCACTCTGCTCCTCAGCCTGGCCTCCAGTCCCAGGCCCCATCCCTCTCTCCTGCCCTCCTCCGACCTCCTCTCCCCTCACTCCCATACCTCCTCTCTCCATCCTGTCTGTCATACTCTCTGCTCAGCGCCTCTCTGGGAGCCACTCGGAGTGTTGTCATGCCAACCAACACACCAGCTTTCAGCCCCATCATTGCCACTCCGTCTCCGGTTAAAAATGACGTCCCTATAGTTCAGGATGCTGCAGGTACTTATCCCCGGCGCAAACCAACACTGCAGCTGTCAATTGAGTCCTGTGCAGCATTTAACTGTGTGATCCAACCTTTCTCTGCAGAATTGTTTTAGAAAGACAAGAAAATAAAAGGGGCTTTCCAGCATGCAACATTTGTTTATAACTGATGAAATGTGCATGCTTTCTGAGTGGATACAGAACAAATGTGTATAATTACTTCTCTTACAAATTTCCGTGTTTTCACTTTTAGTATTAGTAGAATTTAGAGACAGTGGAGTAAATTTGACACCTGTAGTCTGAAGCCTGGGCCTTGTTTAGCTTCCATTAACAAGGCTGCATCAGCAGCCTCTTATTTTAATCACGCCTCAAGTTTTATCGAGGCCCACTGCTTCCTGTCTTGCAGAACAGGGATCACATCATTAGCAGTGACCCCAGGGTGTTTCAAAAGGTGGGTGCCCCTCATAAAACAACATGGAGATAAGAGGGTCGGTTAAGACCCACAGCTCCGCCTCTGTTTGGACGCTGGAGACACCCTGTAAAAGTGTCATGTTCCAAAGTCAATCTATCATTTTCCCCCTCCTTTAATCATTCTGGGAATTAGGAATAAAAAAACTGTGTGGCTCTCTGTGCTTACTCAGCTGTGAACCACTTCTGGCTGAGTAAGGTTGCACATTAGAGTTTTAAGTAGGGCGGTCTCGCAATGTAATTTGCTTGTAGTTTGTGGGTTTTACTTTGTGAATCAACTGATCATTCTTTAATGTGCTTCCTTCCTTTCTTTCAGGCAACACCATCTCCATTCCCACGGCTACTGGTTCAAAGAAGCGCTTCTGGATCATCGAGGACATGTCACCTTTCGGCAAGCGCCGCAAGACCGCATCGTCACGCAAGATGCTGGATGAGGGGATGATGCTGGAGGGCTTCCGGCGCTATGACCTCTACGAGAACTGCAAGGACTCCGGATGCCAGTTTTCTCTGAAGGTGACCCACTACCACTGCACACGTGAGAACTGTGGCTACAAGTTCTGCGGCCGCACCCACATGTACAAGCATGCACAGCACCACGACCGAGTGGACAACCTGGTCCTGGACGACTTCAAGCGCTTCAAATCCTCACTCAGCTGCAACTTCCCTGACTGCCAGTTTTCAGGCAACAGCACCCACTTCCATTGTCTGCGCTGCGGCTTCCGCTGCACTGACAGCACCAAGGTGACGGCCCACCGCAAGCACCACGGCAAGCAAGATGTGATCAGCGCTGCCGGCTTCTGCCAGTTCAGCTCTAGTGTTGATTGTGAGGTTCCCGACTGCAAATATAAGCTCAAGTGCTCACACTTCCACTGCACCTTCCCTGAGTGCAAGCACACGGTTGTGGGCATGTCCCAGATGGACTCCCACAAGAGAAAGCATGAGAAGCAGGAGCGGGGTGAGCTGCCGTCTGTGTCACCCAAACAGGAGGCAGTGCACCACCTGGGAGGAAGCGTGTCTTTGGTCCCTCCAGTCTCTATGGGTCTTTCTACTTCCTCACCTGGTGGCCTCCACGGGTTGTCCCACGCTATTAACAGCAGCACTCGCTCCATGCTCTACCCAACTGGCGCCATTGTGTCTGAGTATACCCACCCGTATCCACCGTCCTCCCTCAGCCTGGACAGCTCCCTCAACCTGAGCACCGACACCAGCAGCTCCCTGTTCTTCCTGAAGAACGCAGCCGGTCTGGGTCTTAGCGACTCACTGGACCTCAGCAAGAAGATGCACCAAGATGCAGCGCGATCTGGCCACAACCCCGCACCCCCACTTAGTCTGCCGGCAGCTCAGGACGACACCACAGGAACGTCCGGGGAGGCTGAAGATGACCTGTCGCCAGAGGAGGAGGCGCATGCTGAGGAGGAGGAAGAAGAGGAGGATGAAGAGGAGGAGGCAGAGGAGGATATCAACACTGACTCAAATGATGATTCGATGGCGGAGCCTGACGCTGAAAAGGACAATGGCGAGAGTTTTGATGCTTCCGTTAACCACACTGATACTTCCCAACTGGAAAAGCAAGACGTTGACCCATGAAAAAAAAAATAACTACCAGTGACTGTAGGAACTGAAGAGAAACCCTGTGTACTTTGAACAAACAAAAATGAAAGTGGCCTCATTTATCATGTTTAGAGACTTCAGATGACAACAAAAAACAACAATAGCGTGGAGAAAATGATGGCCCAAAATGATTTATTATGATGTTTACAAGATGACCAACATTATTAATTCAATTATGCATTAAAAAATATGAACGGAGACACACAGAATTAGGCCCTGTTTTACACACGGGGCAGCAATGTAAAGCATTTTACTACACATCAGTCTTTTTGTGTGCGTGCATGTTTGACTTTAATTTATTTTTATTTTTTTCACTTTTTTGTGTGTGGATAAAAAAAAACGTTAGAAAAACAAAAACAAATCTCTCTATATAACTATATATGTAAGTGTGTGTGTGTGTGAACGATGATATACAAAAGGAAATTGCTGGCACAGGCGACATGAACTGCAGGGCCGAGGATAAGTAGAGAAAAAAAAGGGATGTGAATCACTAAGGGGAAACAGGATGGGTTCAACATTTGATCTTTTTTTCTGTATTAATATTATTATTATTAATTATTATTATTACTATACACTGAGAGAGAAGGGAGTTACATTTTGCTTGTTCCCACCTCTCTCAGATGTTTTTCTTTGTTCTCAATGACGTGGAAATGACCAGTACATGTTTGGTCAGTCTCAGCTGCAGTCGGGCATCCACCAAGCTGCCAGTCTCAACAGTTCTCTCTGACATTCTGCTAGAAATGTTCGACTAGCACCAAAACCAAGCTCAGCCCTTGTAATTGTACCCCCCTACGGAGGAATCAAGTTTGTGTGTGGATAGTGCACTTTTATATTAGCTGACCATGATGATTACGATGATGATAGATAACTCATAAGCATATTTAAAAATATTTTTGTTACCATTTGCATCTTTGCATTACAATGTCGTTTAGTTGTGTTGTTAGTCAGAAGCATATCGATCTGTAAGCAGGCGATGTCGTGATTAACAGTCAGGTTGAAGAGGGGTGGGGGGTCAGACTGACCAGAGGAAACGATGAGTCGCTCAGACACAGCGAGGAGGACATCAGAGGAAGCGACAGGGAGTGTGTTTTATGTTGAAAATATACAGACCGAAAATGTCTAAACGGCATTTTGTTTTCCATTCACTATGGCTGTGGTTGAGCTCCTGTTGTAACGGTTTTTATTTAATATTTATGTGACTTTCCAATGAGAAATTTTAGGGTGTTATTGCACTTTTTAGGTTCATTTTTACCGTCTGAAAAAAAATATGATATATATCTTTTAACAGGGAATTTGCTTTAAAGATGTTGTTTTAGTTCACTTTTGCTTTAATGCACAAATAGATGTTAGTGTGACAAAGAACTGTCGTTCTGTGATTTATTTAAAGACTGGTTTTATTTTGCTTCTGTGATTGGACAGTTTTAAAAAAAAAAAGGAAACTTGTGCGCCAGAAAAAGCAGTGCCCTGATAAGAAACACTAATACGGACTGTGATTTTAAATTAATTCTTAAGAAGTTCATGGCAATGCTCACTTACTGTAGTACTAAATTACAAATCTGTCAAAGCCACCCTCTGGTTTATATTGAGCGAATATGTACGACCGAGACACACTGATCATGACTTATCTTTTGAGCTTGGCATTGGAAATAAGTGATCATAATATAGGGAATTAAAAATGTGTGTAGATGATATTCCTCCAGATATTGTTTTGAGAAGAAAAAAAGGTTGTACAGTATTTTCCTCTGTAAAAAATAACTATATATGAACAAAATGCTCTTTGATGAACAGCTTCCTTTAAAAAGAAAACCGTTAAAAGGAGAAATGAATAATAAAAAGTTAAAAATTCAAATAGCCTCATCATAGTTTGCTTGTGTGCGTGACCTTTTTTAATTACCCCAGATTTTTGGAAAAAGTTGTTCATACAGTAGCATTGGCAGTTTCCGTTATGATATTTGCAGTATATATTTTTTTTCTTTTTCCAAAGTATGTCAGAAGCTCAAACTAAAATACACTGATTTGAATTCATTCATCAATGTTTCTGTTTTATTTAACGACTCGTTTTATTCATTGTCATTTTTCTATGTGTGTGCTTTTGTTTTATTTTTTTCTCATTAATTGAAATTCTTTGTTTATATTTACTTTGCTGTGGGCATGCCTCGTTCACAGACTGAACTGTCTCCTGGGAATCCGCTGCAACGCAGAGGCGACGTTTGTTTTGTTTCCTCATCATTTGCTGAGATAACTGTAGAGGCTGGGAGACATTGTGCACTTGAATTCAGTTTGTGTGTGTGTGTGTGTGTGTGTGTGTGTGTGTGTGTGTGTGTGTGTATGTGTGTGTGTGTGTGCGCGGGTGTAAAATAGCAGGATTTGTAAAAAGTTGAAAATAAAGAAACTATTATTATTATAACAATACACATGTAGTGCTTGATAGTGCCTCAGCCTTGGGTCACATGTGGAGGGGAAAGGTGCTGCTGGACAGTCTGTCTCTTTTTGTATCTGTCAGTGACACTACTGAAGTATGTGTGTGTGTGTGTGTGTGTGTGTGAGAGAGAGACAGAGAGAGGGAGAGTGTGTGTGTGTGTGTGTCTCCCCCTGAGAGAGACAGATAGGCCACGGCTGTAAGAACACAGACCTGTGGCTCCGTCCCAGCTGCTCAGAGCTTCGATTCATATTTCATGACCTTGTGCGACTTTTCCCTGCTTTGTTCCGCTATAAATCCAAATGGGACACTTTTTTCTGTCACAGAATTTGAATAAAATAAAAAAAGAAAAATCATCTGCATTCATGCAGGTAGAGGAATCAACAATATTTGTTGCTGGGGTCGCCCGTTGTTCATGCTTGACATTCTGGTGCGAGGACGAGATCAGAGCTGAGGACCATTAGGGAGATTTAGAGGCCTGCTACTGCTAACAAGATGGCTCTCTGTGTCTTGTTCAGTGTAAACAGGGCACATTTATTTTTTTTCGTAAGTTCATTTTCTTCTCCTTTTTTTTTTTTTTTTGCCTTGAGCCATGTGCTGGGTTCTCCTCCCACTCCCTCATGTCACCCTGTGGCCAGTGTGCTGGTTCTGTCTGTCCCTTCGTCTACAGCTGTTCCTGTCCTTCCTTCTTCTCTTCCTTGTGATGTTTTTTTTTAATAAAAAAAAGAAAAAAAACACGGGTAAAGGCATCACCATCTGTCAGCCAGCTGGCATCCTGTATATAATCTACCAGAAAAAAAAAGAATAAACATGAAAATTATATTACACAAAAACCAGACGGAAACGACCTCCAAATCCTGCATAGGCTGCTGCCGAAACGACAGATCATTTTACTGTTTTAATTAACAGAGTAAAAAGGATGGTATAAAAAAGTGGTGGGGAAATAAACTGAGATGTATTTCTACTGCTGGGAAAGTGTAATATGAAAGCCTCCTGCTTACTGCAGCGTAGTGGATAAACAGAGCAACATTTTAGACTTTGTAAAATATATTGCACTTTTGGACTAAAAGCCATCTCCCGTTAGCGTTCAATTTGGCTGGATTCATGAGACATTTTATATGAAAAGTAGACAATGAAGCAATTTTTTAAAAAGTCTCTACTTGAATTTGTTGCCCTCAGCACTACTATTCATTCTTGTCGTATTGCTTATTTCCACTTGGATACAGTGCTGTTCATCTTCATTGTGCTATATTTATGTTTCTTCTCTTCTGTTTCTGCATGTCTTATGCAAAGATTGAGCTTTTCACTCAGTGAAATAAAAACGTACTGAACGACTTTAGGCCTGTTTTCAGTGTCGATGTCTTTTTCAATGTCATAGAAGAGTACGACACATATTTCAACAGATACTACCTTTTCATAAAAACACCTCCAAGTCATACGTATATTGTGAGTGTGGTGGGTATGCATGCGTCACTGACATGCAGTCAGTTGATGTGCCAGGAACAGGTTGAGTGAGAGTGTGAGCAGAGTGGAGAGGCAACAGTCGGGGCTGGGAACACACACGACAGGTGTGCACTGCATATGTGGTCACATGATGCCTATAAGGCAGATTAGGGCCCAAACAGATGAAGCGCTGCTTAATGGCAGCTTTTATTAAGTTCACAAAGCGTGGAGGGAGGGGGGAGAACAGAGGAAAAGCAGGTGGCTGGGCCTGTGCACTCTTAGATGAAGACAGATATTGTACAGTGGAGTCTGAAGAGGGTAGCCGCTGTGGAAGGATTTATGAAGATTTGCCCGCCCTGGACTCATCGCCTGCCTGTTCCCGAATCCTGCAGTAATAGCCAGAGAGGGAGAGCTGGAAAAGCTCAGAGAGAAAAATGTGCCAGAGAGCGTGATCATATAAGATGAGATGAAACTATAATAAAACCTGTGTCTATGGTCTGTCACTGCGACAACGAAAAGTAGAAGAAATAAAGACAAATTGAATATTATTCATACCCAACCAATGATGATACTCTGGAATATTTTATGTAAAGATGAAAATAAAACACACAGATTACATTTTACACAACAAATTTAACATGGATTATGAAATATGTGCAAATTTTAAAATATCCGTGCATTGCAATATGACAAATGATTATAAAAAAAGCACCCAATATATATCGTGCAACTCATGTTTAACAAAAGCAGTGAGACATGAAGATGTGCACTGTGATATTCAAATATATACCTAAACAGTGTATATTCAATTGTAGATGTGTGAAAGATAACATTGTGCAAGTTTACATATACCCAATAATACATATCCATTTAGCAAGAACTATAGGCGCTACATGACGAACAGAAAAGGGTGATAATGTGTGTCATTATGTCTGTAGTTATTATCACTATGTGAAAAGAAAAATGAACAAAGCTGTTCCAGATGAGTATAGTCATTCAGGGCACAGTGAGTCTGTTGGGCTATATTTTACGGTGTGATGGCTGCCAACATGACAGAGCACCTACAGAGCTCTTTGTTGTTGGACCTGAGACAGAGATACTTCAAGGGGAGGTGATGTCGACGGTACAGTTCAGTTTGGTCCACAGACACACTGTTCACTGTTTCTGGGGTTCACTAGTTGTTAATCTGCCCCTCAGTTTGGGGTTGTTGATTCTTCCCAACACACATGAGTTTCACAATTTTAGTTTTTCAACCACAATTTCACTGTTTTGGTTTATTCTCACCACTTGTTTTGGGCTAAGTTCTGATAAACCCTACCACACACTTCCTCTCTGAGCACTAAACAACTGACAGACAATGTTAGCCACTGGCAGGTGAACAGGATAATTTAGCAGCTAAAGATCAAAATATTTCCCTCAGGAGTTGGTAGAGACCAAAAACAGAGCTTAAAAAGAGAATGAATATTCATCTGGTGAGCAGAAACATGAAATTGGAACCTTTATCTCCCCCTCTGGCCGTGCGAGTAATTACACACACACAAAACAGGAATGACGTCTACCACATTGTATTAAACACTCAGTGCTCAATACAAAAACCACAGCTCAACTAACAATGAATGTGTCCTTATTGTAACAAAACTACTCAGTATAACACATACAACCGCTGGCCAGCGAAAATAAAACCCAAGTGAAGCCTCTTGTCAAACTTCGCGATTCTCCGACTCACTTACTTTCTCCAGCAATGGCTCGAATGTAATGGATGTTCATTTGTTAACATTCTGCACTCTGCTTTAAAAGGTGATAAGTTAGTGTCATGTTTACAGCTTGTTTCCACTGCCCCCAAATGGCCAAAATAATTAAAAATGTCATTACTTTGAGGTCCAGGGTGGAACATTTGGGAGGCTACATTGGCAGAAATGGAATAATATATTTATAGGTATGTTTTCATTAGTGTATAATCGCCTGAATATATTAATTTAGTAATAATAATAGTTTTTGTTTCCTTAGAATGAGACATTTTTATCTATAGACACAGCGGGTCGCCTTCCATCTAGTCCATGTTTCTACAGTAGCCCGGAAAGGGTTAAACCAAACACTGGCCCTATATAGGGGCGTTCACATTTTTCACGGGTTTCACAACTGACGTAGTTTCACCTTCGTGCATGGAAGAGGAGGGTGACTGGACCTTTAATGACAACAGCACTTGTGGCTAGTTAGCTGCCTTACTTGTTATAGCTAGTGCTGCTTCAAGCTAGACCCCACTTCTCAGCCAAAGTCCATAGTTCAATGCGATAAAACCTAAATGTTACTAATCTACGTGTTACATTGTCAATTCATAGTATTTTAAATCTTCACTCCACAAACTCTGAAATTATTTGTCTTTACCTGATGTGAAGTCTAATGAGAATAATTTCCATTTAAAAACTGCAGAACAGAAATGCAGAAGATGTGTTTGAGGTAATTCGAATTTCTTTTTAACTGTGAATGTCCCGCTCAGTACATCCTGGTCACCATTCTTTGAAAAAAAAATAGAAAAGGATCAAAAATGTTTTTTTTTACATTATGCAGGAATGTAACAAATGAATATTTGATGATATATAGTTATTTGATTTTTTTTTAAAAACTAAATATGAAGATCTGTATCATTATCTGTTAGGGTCTCTTCCACACCTGTGAAAATCATGAAATACTATACAAAATATATATAACAACTTGTTGATCGTGAGAACTGTGGGACTTATTTAGACGGAGATATTATTGGCTCTGCCAGTTGACGTTGAACTCATCCAGTGAGATTATTTCTGCCACCAAATGTGGCAAGAAAAGTTTAAATAACTAAGCTCTGGAGAAAATGAAGCTCTGGCCACAAGTAGAAAATCCTTTTGCATAAAATAAATGACCTGGCGTCTCTCCTATCATATCTTCGTCATCAGACACTGTCCAGCTTGTTGTTGATAGGCCCCACAGATTTAAAGTATATCATGTATCACGAGAATATGACATGGCTGCATTGCTCATTTTACTGCTTCATTGGCCCATTTATAGTTCACGTTTTTGGATGAGATGTTTCCCTCGTCTCTTTCAGCACTCTGCCCCAGTTGCCCCTCTCTTTAAATCCACTGCCCTTTGCAATAGATGTTCATTTATCTATTTTTGCATGTGTATGGGCCTATTTTGGAAAGACCTCAGTCACACGGCAGAAAAGGGGGCTGTGTGAAAAAAGCTGCTTTGCCATTGGTAGCAGCTGTTGCTGCTGAGACACCTCAGAGGAAATGGAGAATTGGACACACACTCATCCAATTTACCATTAACAAGACCTTATTGGATGCAGGGCCATAGGAGCATGCGGCTTTGCCTTATGTGGCTCTGTTTAGATATGCTGCTTTTCTTCTTGAACGTGTGTGACTGGGGTCTGTGATAGTGTTGGCATTTTTGTGTGGGATCAAAGCGTGGTGTACGTAGTAATCTCAAGTCTGTAAGCAGACGTTCGGCTTCAGGCAAGGTGCCCCGCTTTGTTTCACACGTGGTTACTATACCAAAAACAAAGCAATTATTACAACAACGATTTATATTTAGGCCGGAAAGTGTTGCCATTTAAGAGTAAAACTAAGGGGAAAAGAATATTTTAAGTACATAACAGTAACCAAAATAAGAATTTCCATGTCTATGGAAGAGTTGCTATTAAAACCCTTCGAAGGAAAGTCTGAGTTGTAACATGAGATAATTTCAAACATCAAACACCAAAGCTGGTCTACAAAGATCTGCAAAAACGAGAGATTTCCATCCGTTTTTATTTTCCACATTTAAATCCAACCACACGAAGAGAACTAGGTTGTTGTTAAGCTTTTCAACATAGCAACCGCTGGTCAGGCGAGTATTGACTTCATCTTCCTCCAAATATACAAATATATAATTATCTTTTAAAGATCCTATGCTACATGAAGCCCCAACTTACTTCAGTATTTGCTCAGCAGGTTTTGAATCATATATTCCTCTCTTGTGCAACACCTGTGCGTTTCGTTTCTGGCTGGGTAACTTCTTTTTTTCTCTCTCTCCTTTTTCCATAAACACACCTCACATTCTTTAGAGGGTGGTGTATCTAGAAATCTTTGTCTTTCAACGCATTTTTTTTTCTCTTACGACATAAAGATAACAAAGCATTCTTCTCACAGTTTTGCTAGAACATTCAGTTAGTGAAAACAAACAAACAGTGGTATGGTTATTAACCTCAAAAACCAGAAAAACTGGATTCAACTCCGGCCAGTTCACACAGAAAAGAAGTTGAGCAAACCGTCCGGAAACTGCTGATCAGATCGTCACGGTAATGACCCACATAACCCTTTTTTTTTCTTTGATGAAGCGTCATTCTGGTTTTGTTATTGTTTTGATCTCTGCAGAGAGGTCAGGGTTTATTAGAACACAGGAATTCAGTATCTTTCTCAAGAACAAGAAACATTCAATTCAGTAAAAAACGAATCTGAGCCTGTGAGACTTTCTCACAGATGTGAAGTTGTTGCAGGGTAGTCAAGGCTACAGCTTTTCTTGAGAGACACTTCAGCACTTTACATTATGAGTCTGACCTTTAGATGAAGTTATTTGAAAATTAAAATTCATTATTTCAACACACTTGACTAGAAGTCCTCTAGATGAGACAATACATCAGGCACTTAACACCTTGTGCATTTTAAATGTTGATGGATGGGATGAAAAGTGCATTCGTGTTTTCGACCACGAGTTAAAATGTGGCCTTCGTGCTCAAGATTAAACACGGTTACTGTGAGTTGAGGAGAAACACAGTTCCTGTATTTCTGTGAGCTCTGTTTGAAGTGAACACATTTCGAAAAAGGCGGGGGGAGGAGGTGAGGCGGGGGTGTAACGTTACACGGGAGATGTTATTTGGTAAACACGCAGTTGTCATCTTACAAACACAAACAGAATCCAGTGGAAAGATTAGCATTGAGGCCCTTTAAACAGCTTGTGAAAAATGAGCCTCCTGTCAACCCTGTTACATAAATGTTTACTAAGAAATACCAAACATTGTGTTCTATTTGTTTTACTTTGCCTCAAGTTTGCCCATTGCCACAGATTAGTCATCCCCAGAGTTAAACACGACTTTGCCAGCAGAACAAACAACTAGTAGCAGACAGCAACCAGAAACAAGTGAATAAAACGGTTGATCCACGCTGGCTCGTAGCCACACGGCCATTACCCTTCAAGTAGTTTGCTTCAGAATTGGACCAGAGGTCTCCGGAGTTGAGTGGGAGTGTTTCATCACTTTATGTTAAGTCTTATCCAAAAGGAGAGAGCTTGGAGCAAAAAAAAAATCTAATGGCCCGACTCTCTCTCAGGAGCCAGAGCAATTCTCATTCCACTTCAATTGCCACAGTGCTGCACCGCTAACTGGCAAGTGAGGCCTGCTGCTGCTTTCTTGGCAAACGGAGAATTCTTAAGTGCTAAGCTGTAAATTTGCTTAATTTGACGTGAGTCCGAGGGGAATGGGATCGTTTTCTTTCAGGGAAAAAGCCTGGCATATTGGCTGACAATAAGCTGGAATGGTCCAACATGGTGTTTCTGCTCTGCGATGATGGCTGGAACACACAACGGACAGCGTTTGACAGAGTTGTAAAACCGCTTGACTCTGGCACCAGCGCTGTATGACTCACTCTTTATGTTAATGCTGTGTTAGCTATTCAACTGTAATTTCTGTGAAAGAAAATGATGATTTTCTCTTGAAGCGGGTTAAAGTGGTTTGTCTGTTTGTACATACTGACTCACACACACCTGTTAATGACCCGCCTTAATAAATTCCTCATATTCTGAACCAACACGCACTTGCACATCGAGTCTCATTTACATGAAGAAACTGCCACATTTACAGCCACAGGATGAAGGAAGTGTCAGGTCATTTCTGACTTTCGTGTAGGAGCAGTCATAGGTCACAAGTTGTGGTCACAAATGCAGAAGCAAAACAGAATTCTTGTTTTTATACGTGGGAACAGGTCAGTGCTGTGATGCTGCGTCATTAGAGAATAGAACAGTTACTGAAATAAGAGTTTTTGAAAAGAAAATGTAAGATTTGCTATTTTGTACAAACCACAAAGCACATCTAATTGTTGAATAATGTGATTAAACATATGATCTAAATCCACAACCTTAATTCACTTCCTAACTGATATCCTTAGTATCTATTAAATAAATGTAGAGACTATTATTTAATAAATCTAATCTTTTGTTATATGGGTGCATTATATTAATGCACTGGCCATTTGCTGGATTGTTTTTTCATTAAAATTTATCAATTTCAACCTGAATGTGCAGTGCATAAACACAGACACTACTTTAGCTTTGACAGCGAACTGTGCAGATGGTGAATGATTGTTAAAAGAGATGTTAATGTAGTTAGCTGTGGTCAATGAATAATATCCTATTGTGGCGCAGGCTTAGACGTAAAAGTAAATGTTTGATACTGATTACCTTACCATATAGTGGTGTTGCAAGAGACCACTTGAAAAAACTGCATTTCGTGTGACCTTCTTTGGGGATTTACAAAGAAAAAAATATAGCAAAAAGCATTAATGTCAGTGCTCCCACGTGGTCGACAGCGGCTGGGTGGGAATGAGGGTAAACTTGAAATAGCGTGGGCTGAACAGAAATGTGACAACTGTGGCATTTGAAAGACAGCAGGTTGTAGCAGATTAAAGTTTACTGTTGTCTCCAGTTGGTCAAACTGGTGCAGAACCATTGCAATACATTTTAAATGAAAGCATTACAATCAGCTTTATTTCTGTTGAATGACTCTTGAATATCACCATCCCCCCCCCGAACATCACGAGAGCCTTTAAAAAGACCGGTTTCAGTATCACAGCTGTGACCTTCATAAAACAGAGCTGGGCAACAGGTGGGCATCATGTGTGTGCTAATCTTCCACATTATGGTTGTTGATAACAGACACTGCACAGCCCCGCTCAGTTAAAACTCAGTAATTTAATATGGAATACATCAGCAATGTGATATTTGTAGCATGGAAGAAGCAAAGGTTGGGAAGATTCTGCTGATGCTAATAATAGAAAATGTCCATCATTCACTATGGGTTTCTGTTACCAAAAGAATTCTGTGAGTACCGCAGACCCTCCAAAACAAGACATTGGGTGTCCACTGAGGGATTTTGGGATTATTTTTTTTCACTCGCTCTCCTCCTCACTAAGGGCATGAAAATGTGGATTGTATTTCGCTATGACAATCCATGCCAATTTGGGAGGACAAGGTCGGTGGATGTACAGCCTTCCCCTTTTTCACAGACCATCCTACTTTACCCATTAATTCTCACATGTGGCTTATGGTGGCTGAAAGTTGGGGCAGCTACAAAAAGAAGTGATTCAACAACAAGGACCCGGTCTGGTGAATCTTAAACTCATTTATTGTGTAAAGGTTAAAAATGGTCACCACAGACCTGAAAAATAGATTTAAAAAGCATTTATTCTGCATACAATCAGAGATACGGTTTGACTGGCAGCCGTTCAGGAAACAATGTGACATTTCTCCTGAACTGTTTAGAGGAATACATTAATTGTGAGCACGTTTGGAGAAGCTGCAATACTGATTATTATCTAAACGTCCTCTGATTGGTCTGGTGTGTATCTGAGCTGGCTGAACTGGATATTAGACTCTTTTAATTTGCATTTAGTCATGGTATTTTGTGTATTTGAAATCTTTATTTACACATTGTTTTTATTAGTGTGATTTTATCATCTCACTTAAGTTCCTGAGGACTTATTTTGTTATTGCAGTTAACGGAGTTCATGTCCCCTTTAGGACAAATTGTAATAACTTTATTGATCCTCTGACTTTTCATCCAGCGCCTTCGTCTGGTCCAAATTTGAATTTGCCATTTATGCCCAAATCCCTGAAAAACTAATGACATTCCCATCAGCCTCAGCTCTACTTAATGTTTAGTACTGTTTAGCAATTGTTAGCATTCTAACATGCTAAACTAAGATGGTGGACATGGTGAACATTGTACCTCCTAAACACCAGCACGTTAGCCATTATCAATATGAAGTTGTTAGCAACAGCCTGACAGAGTAGCTATCATGGCTGTAGACTTGTAGTCTTGTAGCTGTGAATATGAAGCCCACTGAGAATGCAAAAAGCCATGAAGAAGACAGTGCTTAGACTCTCAGTCCCCCTTTATTTTCTACTCCCTCCCCCATTACCCCCCTCTCCTGCTCGCCTGGCCACTAGCATGCTTCAGGTGTTCCACAGTCAGGCCCTGTGATTAGTCTAATTTGCACAAACGCTGGCGAGCACCGCACCTGTTGCCCCTGTGCCGCCTGCAGCCGCGGTTCCTCAGCAGGCTGACAGGCCTTCCCTTGGATAATCCAATCTCCTCGCAACGGCGTCGCTGCTCTCCACCAGTGCAGGACAAGGGCATTCTTTTTTTTTCTACTTCTTGTCTCCTTTCGTGTTCTCATGGCCACCACGCTCCTGATGGCTCATTATTGGACCATTCATAAATACTGCCAGCCAGTACCCACCTAGCTGCTTTTTTGCCTGCTGCAGCTTTCCCTCACTGCTCCTCACTAGCACCTTCCTTCCTTTACCTGCCAATAAGGTGAGTAAAGCCTTCCTACAGGTTCAAAAGAGGCCCAACAGCCTTCCACATGACAGCCTTCCAGTATCCACATACTCCATTTGGATTTGAAACAGCGCCAGGAGAAAATCAAGTGACACAGGCCACACAGAGTGGGAGGGTGGGAGGGAGGGAATGTGATCCCACTTGATTGTTGAGAGTTTATATAGCGAGTGATGACAAAGTGCTTTATGACTTTGCAGTGTTCGCTGGGCCCTGCGATTGAAGCCTTATACAGGCAAAGCCCACTGGTGACCTTGGCTTGTCAAATGTTCTCATTTTCACCAGGAAGGAGCCGGTGTTCAGCGGCTGCTCAGAGCTGGTAAGCTGCTTTTAGAGAGACAGCCGTCAAGAGCTTTTGGAGGTGACCCATGCTTCCTTACTTTCACTGCTGAAAACACTGCTGAGGAAAAGCATCAGTCAGAGAAAGGTTGATGCCTACTAACCCATGGAATTATAATCCCATGTAAAAGATAAAACCAGGAATATTTTAAACATAAGAGTCTACAGCCATGCTAGCGGCTCTGTGAGGCTGTACTTCCACACAGCTGTGCTTTGAGCTAAATGCTAATGTCTACATGTGTATAATGTAATGAAATTTAGCAGACATGTTTATGTGGTTAGTATCTTATTTGCTAATCAGCACTAAACACAAATTTCAGCTGAAGCTAATATTATCACTAGTTTTGCAGGAATTTGCTCATAATCCAAAATGATGAGATTCTAAATTGCGTGATTGGATGTTTGTCTCTATGTGTCAGCCATGTGATGAACTGGCAACCTGTCTAGGGTGTACCCCACCCCTCACCCAATGTCAGCTGGGATTGGCTCCAGCCCCCCTGCGAACCGGCAAAGGTAAGGCGGTTATAGATAATGGATGGATGGATTAAAAGTTAAGAGATGAACAAACTTATTGCAATTCATCCTTTGGGTGTCAATAATGTGTTAACCAAATTTCACAGCAATTCATCTAATAGCTGTTGAGACACAAGTGTCAATCTCATGGTGGTGCAAAATCACATGATACATCACCTGGGAAGCATGAAGATACCAATCCATTAAAATCAATGTTGAGATATTTCACTGATAAATTAAAGCTTTAACTTGATGGTGATGCTAGATAACAAGTCAGATGGATCACAAAAGTCTTTACGATTCATCCTCTTGGCACTATGAATGTCTGGAGAAAATCCCATGACAATCCATCTGATAGTTGTAGAAATATATCAGTCTGGACCAAAGTGGTGGACTGACCCACTGATATTGTCACACCACTAACATGGCTAAAAACTGCACAGACCCCAAAAAATATATAATATACAGGAAGAAACTAAATTGTAGGATTTAGAACATCTTGAAAGAAGGTTAACAGAATTTCATCGCAGATGGTGATAACATCAGTCCAAATGAGGATTCCCGAGGAGTAAAACGATATTTCCAGAGGGGCTAAGCAACCGGTGGAGTTCCTCAGGCCTTGTCACACATCAACTATTACATCAGATTGCTCCCAGCTGCATGCCACATGCATCCTATCTCACAGGGAAGAGAAAGCAGACGCATCTCATCCTCCTCTTCCTGCATTGTCCGTGACCTTTCCTATGCAAATTTTTTCAGGACACTTCCCCTTGGAGAGCGATGTCTGGAAGGCACGTTGGGTGGAGCTTGATGCTTCAAGAACAGGACCTATGCTGCTAAGGATGTGAACTATCCAGAATCAGTGTGGTGAGAAAACAAAAGCTGGATTGGGATCAAAGCTCAAGGACTCAAGGAGGAGTTTTAAATGAGTAGAGATGATGTGTGTATGGTGCAGACAGAGTCACGCTAGCCCTCTGACTGGCTGCAATGGGCTAACAACCCTTGCATTGATCCAAGGAGACACTCAGCCCTCTAACCTGCTGAGTGCTCAGTTCCAGTGAACAATGGAGTTCAGAGCGCGTCGATACACTACCCTATTGAGTGCTCTCCGTTTAGCAGCAAGATTGATGAGGTTAAGGCTCCCAACTGGGGAGCCAAATGGTGTCAAAACCAAGGTGTTGCTTTGGACAAACAATCCTTCACTGCACTACCACACTGAGAGGCCCTGGTTACTGGCTCATACTCCAGCTCTGCCCAGGAAGTGTACTTACATAGGCACACGGTTTCTGAAAAGGTATACAGACTGTGGTGGATGTTGTTAAGACTTTTAAAATGTAGATGAGAATATGAGAAAAGGATAGATGGTGCTTTCTGGACAGGAATGCATTGCAAATCCCCAAAGACACTAAATGATGTACAAGTGGATTTATTACTGTAGGTCCTTATAAATCTAAGGTTGGCCTGAACTCCAGGGAGAGGTTAATGGATTACAAAGGGATGTGGTATCGAACCTCAGAGAAGTTTATACACCTCATCAATATGTGAAACGCTATTGATCATTTAGACATTGATAAATTAAATTCATACACTTGATAATGCATGGCAATATTCAGAATGCCCTGTATGAGGAAAAATTGGCTTTTTCAGCCCAGCATTTTCTAGGCTGAGGATGTATGGTGGGGACCTTATATTGGCAATATTGCCTATTAAGAAAACAAACTGTGGCAGGGTGTAATGTGAGCTGTTAATACTGGGAACCTTGTCGAATTATCAGCAACCCCACCTGTGTGGGCAGCATCCACCCATTCTTGCTCAAATCAAAGTGACAAATGATTGAAGCTGAGATTCTGAGGATTGTTACTCAATATGATATATTACAGTTTCATCAACTTTGATACATATTTTGCCACCAAATAGATATATGAGCTAGGGCACATTCACTTTTTAATGGGACAGCTATGATTTTTATCTGGTATGGATCTACGCTATGTACTCTATATCTCATAGAGCAGTGCTTCCCAGCCTTTTTTTCAGACGTACCCCCACAGTCCTGTCAGATGAACTCGAGTACCCCTTTATCAACACCACCAATCATGTTCCAAATGGGTTCCTTTGATTGATTTTAACCTGGATGTTATTTCACACTATTGACTATATGAGGATATTTTTTTTATACAGTTGAACTGTCAGTGTTCCAGCTATTTATCCAATTATTTATCATTACACGTTGCTATTTCAACAATTTACCATACTTTTAGCTATTCATCCATTTCAAATGATTTTCAATATTAATACATTTCTTCTTCAACAATGTATATCTGTTACCTTACTTTGCTCGCTGTTTAGACGTCTCTGCCCGCTCAGGCCTTCTATCTAGTTTTCATGCTCTCTGTTGTAACACCGGGTGTCGAGGTGTTGGAGGTGACTCAATATGTTGACATACATTACGTAATTAAATTGGAACGTCAAATTAGTTGATTTACTCCATATTTGTTACCACAGACCCCCTGTATGATAGCATTTGGCTAAATCTAAAGCAATATTCTATCAGGATATAGCTTGTGTAAGAGCTGTTCTAGTAAAACACACTCCAACCGAACTGTCAGCAGTCAAGTTGCATTGTTGGTAATGTAGGTGCCAGGTTTTGACAAGGATGTTTTTTGATCAGTTTCTTTATACTGTCCATGCCTTCTCTCTAGCGCCACCTCAGACCAACCGTCACAATTTTTTTATTTAAGCACAGCAAAGCAATCTCTACATTTTGCATATATTAAGTGTTTCTGTTTTTTGGTCTGAGCATTACAATCTCACAAGAAAAAGATAAACTGAGGTGACATCAGATTACTGTGAACAATCACAGCTTATCTTTTATCTCTGCAACTATTATACCTACTCTCCTTTCTCTCCCATCTCTCTACCTGTCTTACTCTGCCTCAGAGTTTTCTGTACTGTTGGACTAAGAAAAAACTTAGTTAAGCATGAAAAAAACAAAAAAACCCAAATTTTAATTAAATATAGAATGACTATCTGCAACATTTTAAATGTATTCAAAATAGAATAGGAAACCCTATTTGAGAAAGCACTCCCACAACAGAAACCAAAAGACTGAATCCACCTACAGAAATAAACACAACTTCACACATACAATGTATAACTATGTCACTTACTCATTTCCAGAGAGAAAGCTGAAAAAAGGCTGAAAGTCCCTGCCCAGTCATGCTTTCTGAAAATGCAAGTACTGTACAATTCTCATCTGTATCTGGTCTTACAGATACATTACAGCTGGTTTGGAGATGTGACACAAAAAAACAGAAAGCTTGGAAACCACAAAGATTAATCAGAAACTTTGAATTAAAATGGTTTCTGAATTCATAGGCCTCTGGATCTGGATCACTCAATATTCACATCTGGATTAAATTGTGAAAATTTACAGTGCTGATGTTATTGGATGTATAAAACAACAAAACGTTGTCTCACAGAATGGAAAGTCTGCCATAGTTTGATTTTATTATTAACAACATTTTTGCCAAAAACAAAAATGCCTTGATATGAATGTTACAGAAAACCCTCCTGCACCTGAACAGACGACCACATTCGCACAAACATCTCAGAGAGATTGAAAATAAAGACAAAAACTGTACAACCCTCAACTTTTGTCTAATTTGAATGTTTGTTTGTGCATTTCTCTTTTCTTCAATGTAAATTAGGTACATTTTAGTCACTTGTGATTTAGAGTCAGCACCCTGATCTTCACTAGAAGTTTAATATTTAGCTGAGCTTCAAAATGTTTTAAAATATATACTAAACTCTTTGCACTGTAATGTAAAACAGTAACTGAGTTCAAGAAATATAAAATATACATGGAAACAGACATCCCATTAATACTATATTTATCCTTTAATAGTAGCATACAGTAGTATTGTGTGTCCAGTTGGTTTATATAATAATGAATATAACAGTGATTCTACTTGAGATAAACCAAATTTATTACACTTATATACACTTTTGACAGTAATCAGCAGGTTACAGCGCAGACCAATCACTGAAACTACAGTGGCTAAGAAGCATAAGTTACACCTCTTGATTCTGTACTTCTTTAAACAACCTTATTCATCCATACAAATTCATTTTACATAAATCAGAAAATATATATTTTACAGCATACTGCAGTATTATTGTCACATCATTCGACACTTTTAACATAAATTCAATCAGCATAACTAAACATAATCTGCAGGTTAGGACTGGTGTCACAGAAATGTGCAGTGACCCTCTACCTTTCTCTGTGTTCCTATGACGGCCCTGTGATGCAGGTGGAAATGGCACGAGAGCTGATATCCCTTCTTCTCACTCATGGACTCTTCTTGTTAGCTGGAGACAGAGTGAGTAATTCAATAAGTCAAGTATTCATTTATTACTTTCCTTTTCAATCATGGGGCAATTTTTTTTTTAACTTCCCCCATCCACCTCCACACTGAGAAGAAAAAAAAAGATGATACAAGTTCTGCAACTTCCATCTGTGGCAGCCCTCGTTGTCTTACTGCAGCTTAATTACAAAATATTGGCGCCGTTTTCTGTAAAGATTACTCACTGTAGGAGGCCCTACATAATTTGGACCGGAGGGTTTGTCACGGAAAATAATACAATGCAACTGGGCTTTCTGTATTAGATTTCCGCTTTTAGCCTCCTTGACATTTCAAGCTGCATGAACTAATACATCTGTTATTTGTTGATCATTTGATTATTAACATACTTCACAAACCAAATCAGCTGCCCTGCTGGAGACACAGATTTGGCTCAGCAGACAGTCTGGGTCTTTTCTCGCCTGCCACGCGCAAACACACTCGCAAAGATCCACAATTCAGCCCTCAGTGAAAAAGGAAAGCGGGGGGAAAAAAACATTTATCTTCCCCTCCTTTGAGCGTATGAGCACTCTGACACCGGCATGGAACAAAGCCCGTCATCACATTCTAATCTCGAATTTCAGGGCTTTTATTTCACCCAAATGCCACCCTGCTGGCCTTGTGAATTATTGACAGACTGACACCAATGCGAAAGGACACATAAAAGAGGCTAAAAGCTCCGGCCCTGGAAGAGCTTGTCCTCTCCTATTGCCATCAACAGGGAGACAAACTCTGCTAATGCTTCTCTGGAAGCTCACGGTAACTTTGAGAGTGAAGTACCAACATATGACTCCTGACCTACAGCCGCACTATACAGGAGAGATAGTCTGTGCAGCACTGCCTCTTTGGTCTGTATAAGAGCCTTAGTACAATTAAAAGGACACCAAGGCAAGGCTGTGAATTATCTGATCAAATCATGAAAATTAAAAGCAGTAATTCACATATGGTAAGTACTGCATAAAGCCTTTTCATTCTGATTTGACTATTGCCCGTCATTTCTCCTTTCAAAGAAACGTCACAATGTGGTGCTTAGCTCGGCATGCAGTCATTTAGTTTGCTTGATGAAAAGTAAATCGAGGTAAGCTGTGTGTCAACTAGACACTCCAATATTTGTCAGTTTTGCGGCTTCTCACGCCCACACCTACTCCTCATTTTGTTCAAGATTAACATGTTACAGAAACAAGTGGAGACAGACAGCGCAGATGGATTTAAAAAATAAAAAAACAGAATGAGAGCAAGCAGAGAGAAGCAGAATGAAACGAGAAATTGTGTTTGGAGAGTGTTTTTGTGCTTTTACTGTTGTCTAATCCACCTCGCTCTCATTGCTGGCACCCTCGGGCCGCCTCAGTTTGTCCACCTGTTCGTTAATCTGTCCATCCCCACCTCGTCGATCTTCTGTCTGCATGCTTAGACCGTCCTCCTCCTCC